TTGCAACGAGGCCTTGGTCGAGGGCCTGTTCAATATCGTGTATGAGTGCAGCTACTAGGTCAGTGGCAGAGCGCTTTGGTAGAGCTCCAAAATGTTGTGGAGCTAGAATTCTAAGTTTGACAACAAACCAGGTAATTCTTTTCGCGATGAGTCGTTCTAGGCCTTTGCCAAGACACGACAATAGCGATATTGGTCTGTAGGCCCTGGGATTGGAATAGTCTTTCTTTCCTGGTTTTGGGATCATCATTACCTCAGCTACTTTGAATGGTTTAGGGTGGTGTCCAATCTGTAGACAGGTCTAGAAAAGGGCTCTGATATGTTCCCCAATGAATGGCCAGCAAGCTTTCAGAATCCGTACTGTGAGGGTATATATTCCCGGGGAGTTGCTCTTGGTCCCTAAAGTGCACCCTTCAGCCTCTTCCAGTCCGATATGGTATTCAAAGGGGATGTATGGCTTGGGTTATGTGATCTGAGCGGACCAGGGGTCGATGATATCGTTGTCTGAGGTACTTCGTTCAAGCGTGGCTAAGCGTAATGTATTTGCCTTGCTCTCTTGTGACTCGAATATTTGGTCTCCTATGATGATTGGAGGGGAACGCAATCCTGCTGATAGCTTGTGCCAAGAGACGATTCTGTATAGGTCCTTTGGCTCAGTTGCTGAATCAATTAGAGTCTGTCAGTACTCTCTCCTAGCTTTCTGAACCACGCGGCGAAATTCCTGTTGGGCTGAATTCCGCCCTTCTTAGCTTGTAGTCTGTTTAGAAAGGGCCCTGTATGTCTGAACAGCTATTTTGCAGTCATCATTCCACCAAGCAGTGGGCCTAGATTGACGGGGCTTCTTGCCCACTGTCCTGATACAGCCTTGGATCATGTTGATCAAGCTTTGTGTAAAGGCATCTACCTGGCCAGGGGATACACCCAGCCAGGGAGTTCATGAATCCTGGTTTGGACATTGTCTGCCAGCTCTTGTAGTTTATCGTTCGGTACTATCTAATAATTGGCCTTGGGGACTCGGTCTAGATCTCCCTGAATTGGGACAACTATTTGTAATGTCTCATGATCTGAAGTGCACTGGAGTGCATCATTCACTGAGGCTTCGGCCATGGGGACATCTAAGAACACCAGATCTAGTACATTTCCGTCATCATGTGTTGGGACATCTGGTTCAGAAATCAGATCCAGTCCGTGGTCTGCCATAGTCTGTGCAAGTATGACACCACCATGATATCCTGGATTGCTCGAGTCCCAGGATGTGTCGCCAGCATTGAAATCTCCAGTTATAACGCAGCCAAAAGTTGGAGTCTATACTTCCAGAATATCATCCACTTCCTGTGGGTTGTCACATGGCTGGTAGACACTGGCAAATGTAATGCCTTGTACCTTGACCCAGGTGATGTTTCGTGTAGCATAGGGCTAAAGTTGATCCGTTTAAAGGTGTTTTCTCACATAAATGAGAGATCTGGGCCGCGTACTGTCGCTGTCCCAGGAATCCATTGGGGAGTATATATCGTAATTGGGGTGTGTCTTTACTCCCATTCTCCTGCCTGGTGGTATGCCAACCCAGGGCTCTTGCATCAGAATGATGTCTGTTTGTTCTCCTTTGTAGTTAGTCAGGTTGATGGCTAACTCTGGGGCCTGCACTCTTTTGTCCTCCTGCTGTATTCATAGAATGGATGACTAGATGCCCGTGTCGATGTGTTTTGTTTGATGTACCTAACATTGACTGACAACAATGGTATCGGCATCTCTGGAATGAGTTGTATCTGTTGTGTCGATTTGTATTGTGATGTCTTTGTTATTGTTGCTGGGTGTTGACCCAGCTTGGTTTCTGCCTGTTTCATTAAAGGCCCTGGATCTGGCTCTTTCTCTAGCCAGCCTTATTTCCTGGATTTGCTCCCATGTGTGCTTGTGGATGATGCCTTTCACAACCTTGGGGCGTGCAGGGCATTTGTCGAAGTTGGCAACATGAGGTTCGTTGTAGTTGACACATTTTGGGATTGGTTTTTTGCACTCTCCCTAGTGTATTGTACTGGCGCAACGTGCACATACTTGCTTTTCATATCGGTAGTTTATACCATGGTATCTGAAGCAGCTCGCACACTGATGAACCTTGGGGGAGTATTGAATGTGCCTTGAGGTCATTAAATGAGCAAAAAGCGTGAATAGTTTTTTTGCTGCACGGGGCAGAGAGATCACTCATGTGGTCTCTGGATCAGAATCAACTGTGTTCCTTAAGAATATGCACCTTAAAGGTCTGTCACCTGTTTGGGCTTTATTGTTTTGTTTGTTTTGTATTTAACGTGGGGGGTAGCTCCTCAGTAGTGCAAACCACGCCTCCCAGAGCCATTGCATCGCAAGGTTGTAGAGGTGTCAAATTAGATACATTCAGATCCGCGCACGAGCCTATCCTCGCTGTAGCGGTACCAATCTGGAGTGTTCAGATGGTTTTAGTCAATACCCAAGCACGATTCCGTCAGAAAAACCTCCTATCTAGTGACAAAGCGACCCAGTGAACCTCAGTTCTCTGGTGTACATATCGTTCCAGTAGCCGTTCGATATATGTCGCATTGGTGGGTGGAGTAGGTGTTTGTTATCTGCTGGCGAGGGAAACCACAAGGGGGAAAAACCTCGCAGGAGTGGGTATTGTGGAGACAAGCTGCTTGGCTATCGGGCTCTGCGATAAAATGGGGCCTCTCCACTGTCGTGTGCTGGTTATCGACTCGCACAAGCCGGGTCAGAAAGGGGGCCATAGCAGGATTCGAACCCACTTGTTCTCGTCGCCCACCGCACAAACGAGAACACAACCAGGCGCATTTGACCATTGCGCCATACGGCCACTGTTTGGGCTTTAACTTCATTAGTAACAGCAATGTCAGTAATGTCGATTATCAATCCTTCCGTATTGATGAACTTTCTTGGGCATCCATTGACCTTATAGTGATGCCAGACCGTGTAGGTCTCGATCTTTTCTGCCTTGAGAATATTGGTGATTTCTTCTTGGAAGGCCAGGAGCTTAGCCTGAGTTGGCTTGTCCCTTGGGTATAAGATAAATCCGGAGGGGCACCGGGTCACTTCTCTAAGCTCTTAAGAGTGGAGTTTAAGTCTTCTGTTTAGTGTAGACTTTATTTTGTAAGGCTCTAGGTGGCTATTATCTATGCGGACAAAGACCCAGAGATCATCCTGTTTCTTCTTCAGTTGGTTGGCAGTGATATGGGCACCAGGCTGTGTTTTCTTTATGGTAGTGTTGATTGTCCGTGGATGCTGTCGTTGGCTAGAGGAGACAGCTTGGGCAAAGGTCATGGTGGGCTTTACCATCCCTATCCCCCCAAGAATGGTCTTTCTTTTGGGCGGATCTCGGGTTTCCAGCCACTTGTTCAGATATTTAAAGAAGAAAGTGCTGAACTCCTTGGCATGAGAGTATAATTCAGTTCCAGCTTTCTTTAGTGTCTTATCAACCACTGTAGCACACTCTTAAAATATTGTTATCCTGGCTTCATAAAGGTGCTTGTCTTTAGCCAGTATTCTGGCAACTTGGTCCTGGCACTCTGAAGAGGAGGTTTTATTCTTTATATCGCATGTAATAGTTTGGTCTGTCGAGATTTCGTTTAATTGAGGTCGTTTCATTCCAGTGGTGCTGTTGTCATTGATATTTCAGGATTTTCTTTTTAGAGAGGAAATAACAGTAAAAGTCAGCCTCAGAGACCTGTGACGGGCTGCTGCTGATGTCGTCAAGCAGCGCCTGGCGGAGCCTGCTCGGAGTTGCCGGGCCGTATGTCTTTCTAGAGGCCGGGGATTTGAGCACGCCGCCGGTGGTCGTCTTTGGGACGGCCACGGGCGTGTTTGGGGGCCCGTCGTGGAAGGGTGCCATCCGGCTTGTGAGAAAAATTCTCTTGTGCCTTGATAGAGATAGTCAGTTACTGAGAGAAGTGCCTGCTTTAATGCAAATATCAAGGTTGCGCCCTAACAGCGGGGCGCCAAGAAAAATAGTTGTTTTAGGCAAATCTGAGTCCGCTAGTGCAACAGTATCAGATTATGACGAGACTGGGGGAGACTTGGCGGATATAGGAGGTTTTGCCTAAGCACTTGGCAAATGTGCGATGGACTGTGAGGGGGAAAGGCGATTGCATCAGTCTCGCCAAAAAGCCAAGGTCTTGTCTTCGGTCCGAAAAGGCTTGAATTCTTAGACGAACAACATGCCTCTTATCTCGTCGGCCTCCCCCAGAACAGCCCCAGCAAGTGCCTGCTTGGGCCGCTTGGTTGGCCTTAGTTTTCCCCAGATCTCCACACGCTTCCCCGGATCTAACGTGTTGATCGGCACCGGAGAGAAGTCCACGATTCTTCGGTCAGGACTGCGAGAGGTGATCTTTTCTCCAAAGATCGTAGTAAGGCTGGTCGGATCCACCCGTGGCTTAACCCCTCTTTGTCCAGACTGCACAGGGTAGTAGTCTGATGATATCATCCGGGGAAGACTGTTGGGGCTTGTGGTATTAGGCTAGGTGGTCGTTCGAGTATGAAGTGCAAGATTGATGTTTGAAGGCTATAGAAATTACTGTGTTGGGTTCCACAGTCATCCACATATCCCATCATAACCACGACTACTTTCATCAGCCCACTGCCACTTCAGACCCATCGAGCACCAGGGTCGACGACATACCAGCAACAACAGTTCAATGCCACGCTTCCAACCTACTCGAGTTGCCTAACAGGACACTACTCTGCACCTGGTTTGGAGGGACGCAGGAGGCACGGACGACATTTCCGTATACTTATCCCGGCGCACACCAAGCTCCTCCTGGATCTACTCAGTCCGCGTATCATCTGATCCGGTCCGGAGTGAACAAAACCCTCTTCTATTCAGAGACCCAGCAAACGGGACCATATTACTGTTTCACACTGCACAGCCAGCAGGAAATCAAGACCAAGCTGTGACCGTTGCCAGGACTTCAAAGACCAAGGTCAGTCCTGGTCGGAGCCCAACGCGCCGTTTCCCAACAAAGGGCATGTTCATACGCCAGCTGGTGGTCGTCCTGCCGGACAACACCTGGGTTCTGCCGATCTGGTACTGTCGGGTGCCTCCAGGTTTCCGCTGGATCGGCCCCGATGATGTCTCGGCTGGGCTGTACACGAGAGACGGAGGCAAGACCTGGAACGAGAAGGCCGTCCCAGACTCCACCGGCTGTGTTCATATAAACACTGTCCCTCTTCCGCTCGACAAAGGCTATCTTGCCTTCTACCGCAGTCGGTGGGCGGATTGTATCTACCGGTCCACCTCTTTTGACAGCATTAACTGGAGCGCGCCTGAGTGGACGTCACTCCCAAATCCGAATTCGGGCATCTGCGCCACAGCACTACCTAACGGTGATGTCGTGATGGTCTTCAATGATTCTAGCACGTATCTCGGCATGGAGCTACGAGAAGGTCTCTACGACAATATCATCCCTGCCGAAGACCCGCGAGTGAATCAGCCGGAAGGGTCCAACGGCAAGGTCGCCATCTGGGGCACGCCAAGAAAGGCGCTCTCGGTCGGTATCTCAAGGGACGAAGGCAAGACTTGGAGGTATAGGGTCCTGGAGGATGGCGATGGCTTTTGCATGACCAATGATTCGAAAGGGCGCTCGAACCGAGAGCTCAGCTACCCGAGTATATACTTTGACAGATCTGAGGGGGATAAAGGGGTGCATATTTCGTATACTCATCATCGTCAGAGTATTCGATATGTACACATTGACGATGTAGCTCAGTTCGTAGGTGAATGAGGAACATGGGGTTTAACCTGCTTAGCTGTTGCGCTTTAGTCACTTCAAGGATGACAACATCAATCTCATCATCTTCGTACATTTTTCACGTAGAATTTGTCGAGGCATTCTAGTTTGTCATGTAATAAAATGAGTACTAACGATAGATCGAATCTAGATAGAAGTCTTCGCAGATGAAAGTGAAATAACACTTGCAAGGTCCGGCGTCCATGCGTTCATTGAGCATTGATAGTTCTGCGAGGCTTGTTCTGTATATCGATGAATGGGTACAAGATGGGATATATATTCTAGTCACATCAAAGCTTCGCCCGCATCTTCCTCCCAGGTATCTCTGGGTACAGGTTCTTCGTCCGTACGAGGTAGTCCACGTCGGTTGTGTTCAAAAGGTCGGGCGTGGCCTGGCCTAGACTTGTGAGCCCGCAAAGTCTCATTGATACTTCAATCTCGTCTTCCAAAACTGCGAGCTCATCAGTGACTTGTCTCTAGACTGGCGCCTGGGGTGTACGTACTTGAAATAAGGTGCTGAACACCATCCTGGCCGTACACAAGACTGTATCTAGATCTGGGGTTAACGAGCGATGTACAAGGGGTACGGTCGCGTGGCTTACAAGAATGGTCTTCCGATACCTACGGCTGTAGCCCCGAGAGCAATGGCCTTGAGGATATCGCTTCCCCTCTCGAAGCCACCGTCCATATATACCTCCATCTTGGAGAAGACGGTTAGACATTTTCTGCCGAAGCTCGAGGAGGTTCAAAAATGGCAGGCTGGGAACTGTGGTCGATGGGTAAGCATTGGTCAGATCGACTAGACATCAGGTAGGATGAGACTTACGTGTCTAGTGACCTTCCTCCGTGATTACTTAGGAAGATGGCGTCCACGTCGTACGTCAACGCCATCTCCGCGTCCGCCACACTTTGCACCCCTTTGAGAACGATGGGCAGTTCTGAAGTCTCCTTAATCCAAGCTAGATCCGACCACGTCAAAGCCTTGTCGATATACTGACCCATCAATCGCCCGAGTCCACCTCCTTTCTTGTCGTTTGAAGAGGCCGCGCCACTGATCGCTGATTGTATGTCTACCGCAGCGATACGCTCGTCTGCCTCGCGTTTGCCTGGAACCGGTGCATCGACCGTCACGAATATTGCCTTGATTCCTAACGCTTTCGCTTTTTGTAGGAGATCGGCCGTCTTATGTCGTTCGGAATTTACATAGAGTTGCAGGAAGAATGGTTGTTTAGGGTCAACCGACTCCACGATGCTACTCAAGGGGTAGGAAGCGTTATTGGAGACCTATCCATTCAGTGAGTGGTGTTGGACTGAAGATGCCTGTCATTCTGCTATTGCCCTACGCATTGAATTATGTCTTCTGCTCCCGCGGCCCTAGCAAGCGCAAGTTCGCCATCGGGGGGTGCAAGCTTGGCCATTGCGGCTGGGCTGGTGAAGAAGGGCGCTGCGCTGTCATGACCGAGGATCTTCCTTCTGAAATCCACCTTGCTGACATCTCGAAGTATCCGAGGTTGGATCATGATACGCCTCAACAAAGCTTTGTTTTGTCGGTGCGTGCTCAGGTCGGTCGCCGTGGACGAATAGAAAGCCCATGTCTTCGGCGTCAACTCTTGCCCAGCGACTGTTTCGAAATGCGCGGCACTGATCAATGCGTGTAGTTGGGGTGGTCCGGCAACCTCGTCGGCTGATGCTGACCGCTTTTGCTTTCTTGCCTCCCCGACTTCCATCGTAGCTCCGGGCGGGGCCACGTCGCTGCTCGGTTCGAGGAAGCTTTTGAACCTGTCCTCAGACAGATTCTCCTCGAAGATTCCCGGGGCGTAGACCTCGTCGAAGGCTTCTGTGGCGTTTGTACCTGCATTCTGGAGAATGACTAGCCGAGATGTCAGTGCGAAAGTTCCAGCGAATGACCCTGGAGTTGTACTCACTCTCTGGCCCACCTGAGTGCTCATGCAGGAACTCTGTCACATCCCACACCTTGGAGTGGACGGCAATCCAGCAGTCGTCTTTCCTGTCATGCTTTCTGAGCTCCGCCAAGGAGATATGACGTGATGAATCCGTGTTCATGTTCGCGAATGAATGAGATGTGATAGCCGCGGGTCTCTTGGCTGAGCATATTCCCAATCACAACCCTGACTCAATCGTAGGTATCCAAAGTAGATGCTCTGAAATATGCGTAACTGACTAATACACATTGCGACAGGTCCATTGACAACTTCGCGCAGTAACAGCGAGGACCATTTTTGTCGCCACTGTAGTAGAGGCCTCTAGTCCGATGGGAACTACTGGTCCAGTTGGGGTCATGCAAAGACTCCACAACCTCGCTCGGCAAGCTCTCCTTTCTCCAAATCTCCATCTCAACTGACTCGAGGTCTCTCGGCATTCTCGCCGGTCTCCAATTATTCATCTCCACCGAATCCCCGGCTCCCCTACTCCGCATTCCCCGACAACCCCTCAATCGTGACGGCTTCCGCGCCGGCCTGACCCCGATTCTATCGTGTGGTTCTTGACTTCTGGCGACGCGGGTAATGGAATCATAAACTGATGACAGCAACAGACAGCTTTATCTTGGGCAGCTGTGTTCTACTCCATCTGATATCCGGGCCTCCTTGTCATTCTGGGAAGTACTCAACGCCAATCGACGTTTGAATCATGTCTCCAAAGCCCGTCGTCCTGCACGTCGGTGAGCCGATCAAGTACAATCACGATTTCTACGAGAATGAGTTATGTGAGCGCTTCGAGGTCGTCCATAATGGGGACTTGGATCGGGAATCCTTCATCAAAGCATTAAAGAGCAAGAAGTGAGCGTGGCCCCTTGTTCACATACCAAGGTGTAGCTGACAGGGGCAGGTATAGCGACTTCTCGGCAATCTATCGACCGCATTTCCAGACGGGGGGCGAGATGGGTCAATGGGACGACGAGTTGATTTCATTGCTTCCACCCTCCGTAAGAACATTTGCCTCAGCCGGTGCCGGATTCAACTGGGCAGACGTAGACGCCCTCGGCCGTCGCAAGATATGGTACGCGAACGGCGCCGGTGCCTCTGACGAAGCCGTCTCCGGCACCGGCTTATACATGATACTCTCGGTCTTTCGCAATTTCACCCGATCACAGCTTGCGGCCAGGACGTGGGACCCCGAGAAGTTCAACGCCTGCCACAAGCTCACTGCGACCATCTCGGCGAACCCGAGGGGCCATGTTCTAGGCATCGTAGGGCTAGGAACATTGGCAAGAAGCTTGCCTACAAGGCACGCGCAGCGCTTGGGATGGAGATTTACTACTACGATGTCGTGCCAGCCGCGCCCGAGGTCGAGAAAGAGCTTGGGGCCACCTTTCACGGGGCCCTGCATGATTTGCTGCGTGTTGCGGATTGCATCAGTCTGCATACGCCCCTGAACAAACACACGCAGGACTTGATGAACAGCGAAGCGTTTGCTGTGATGAAAGACGGGGCGCGCTTGATCAACACGGCGAGAGGACCGGTCGTGAACGAAGATGCTCTTGTGGAGGCACTAAGGAGCGGGAAGATTGCCGCGGCAGGGTTGGATGTGCATTACAACGAGCCCTAAGTATCCAAGGAGCTGGCACAAATGGAGAACGTCACTTTGACGACGCATGTCGGTGGTGGTGCCCTCAACACGAGGATCAACTTTGAGCTGAACGCCATGGAGAATATCCTGGCTGTTGTGGGCGACGATGGGCAGTTCACTGGCGCGGAGCCATTAGCGCCAGTCAATACGAAGGCATTCCAGTCGCTTACATAGAAATATATGGTTCTCCGTTCTACATACCAGCCCCTTCTTGTTCGAACTCGCTTCTCGGCTACGTGACTTCGCGTTCCCAACCCAGCAGATTGAGAGATGGTATCGATGTTGTGGAATCAATTCAGGCTCTGCCGCGACCTTGAGCAAATAAACGATTGTTATGATTTTGATTGTTATGATTTGGCTCGTGGCTGAACTCTGTTCGTCGCCCCCTCACCCTCAACGCCAATGGCTCCAGCGAAACCCTCGTACACCTTCTTCGGTGAGTCACGAGAGCCCTATATGAATGCGAATCCTCGCACAGTAATATCGCGAATAATTTCTCTACGAACCACACCGCAATCATCTCTTCCCAACATCACCCCGAACGTACCACACAAATCGCGCGTCTCTCTGTCCACACACTCGATCATTGACGGCATCGTTCTTCTCTATCGTCGAATCAAGTCGCAACCACTAATCGAGATTTACATCCTTCCACCATAAGTGAGTGCCCTAGTCTGCATGACTGACGTCGACATCAGTTGACGTGCGTTCAGTCCCGCGGGGATCTTTACTCAAACAAAGCTGAGCGCCGGTACCAACGAGAGTGAAGACCAGAAACCAACGAAATAGGAGCAGCAATGCCGAACGACGCCGAGACCAGAAGGCTTGCAGAGCAAGTCGAGTATCTGACTTAGCGACTCGACACGCAAACGCACCTAGAGGAGCTGCTGCAGGAGAAAATCCGCAGAATGAAGAGAAAACAGGAGTATCTGACTCATCAACTCGACATGCAAGACGAGCTATTGCAGGACAAGGACTACATCATCAAGAGAAAGAAGGAGGTCATTGCAGACAAGCAGAGTATGATTGACGTCCTCGTCACCCTTTGGACCAATGGATTCCACATTACGCATGATAATGCGCAGGCGGTCTTAGGGATGGTCGGCACGATCTTCGAATAGAGACAGAGAATCAGGGTCGTCATCCAGTACCTCTAGCATGATAGAAAATCTCTTGGCCTCTAGCAGTGGATGATGCTGCGACAACTCAAGGTTACTCAACTCTGCGAGAAATCACAATTGCGATTATGGAGAAGGCCGTGATCTTTCGCTCCTATTGAAGAATTATCAACCTGCATCTTGGACAATACATTCTTGTAGCATGTTGAGGACCCTTGTGCCACGTGACTTGTTCTTGCTTCATTCCAGAGCAAGCCCTCCAACCGATCTATTGTTCCACACAAGCAGAAAGGAGCATACAGCTCAAAGGATCTCAGCGATCGGATGCATAATTGCGACGAAAAGGGATGGTAAGGTAGGTATAGCGTACAGCACGGGGGCTCTGCTTCTTGTTATCTTTTGGGGTATTTGGGTTTGGCTCCCCCCTTCGGTCGAAGACCTAAAAAATAAGAACAAATCGTGGTACCTGCGTACCTCGGGCAGGCACCTGCATTTAGCTTTGTGCCAATCAACAGACGGCAGGTACATACAGTGCTTGTCCATCGAGGAAAGTCTATCCCATTGCCAGATGCTGTGGGCGCCGAAATTTCTACACGCGCCACCATTCTCCGGCGAGAATCACCTTGCATAAGATACCGTAAGTACCTACCTGATGCCCATGTCCACCGTTGACTCCCACAGTTTTTAAGCTGATTCTTGATACAACCACTGGATTCAAGTTGTTCAGTTGCCCACAGCACCATTTGCCATCAGAGCACTCGCCCGCGCCAATCTTGGAGTGGTCGAAAGAAACTCACATAAGCACCTGCAATAAGCGATTCTTCATTGAGCAGAATGGTGACGCCTCCACGACAATCGCGTCTTCTGTCGCTGCCGCCAGCCATACGCGCTCAGATATACGAATACTGCGCTGCTACATACATCATTGCGGACGTCGGATCGACCCCTTGGCCAGCCGCCTACGCCATCCCTGGCCAGAAATACACCGACTACCCAGCCCTGCTGCGGACCTGCAAATTCATCGCTCGAGAAGCGCGGTCGATACTCTATCAGGACGTACGGATAAGGTTCATTTCAGGCTTCTACTGGAAATGCAAGAGCAGGGCGTCGCTTGCTGCCGTCGGCACCTTCGCGCCTCTGGCGATTCGCAACCTGTTCATCGAGCTTGACGTCAACTATCGCGCCAAACCCTTCGTCACGGACCTGGTAGCCATCTTCAAGGCGTGCAAGAACATCGAATATGTGGATCTTCACATCTCCCCTGAGTTTGATCGGCAGAGGAGCTACCCAGCTCAAAGGCCAGGCCGCTCGTCAATGGGTGCAAAAGGGTACGAGGCATTTCTGCTGTTCTTGCAGACGAAGCCGAAGTTGGAGATGTTTGTTCTCCGTGGGAGCTACTCGAAGCCTTTGGCGGAATTCATGCGGCACGGACTTGAGGTGGAAGGGATTATTGGTGACTCAGAGTGACTCTGCTTAACCTCCCAGCGCGGAGCCAGAGCAGCGAAGATACTGAGGCATTCGTGATATTTGGCAAAAGCGACCTGGGATAAGCCTTGATGGTAGCTTATAAGGATAAGCTTGCTTGTGCCAGGGTGTTGGGTGTTATCCCAGCAACCATGGTGTCAACTTTGCGGGTGTGTATCGCTTTGCGGATGTGTATCACCGCATTGCGCTTGCTTCTCCTCATCCTCCCTCTTCATCAACACACTCGCGCTATCCTCAGGGTCAGGGTCAGGGTCACGGTCACGAACCCGGACGGCCGGTAGCTTGGCGAGGCTGCTGGCGAGCGGGCGGAAGAACCGGTTATAGGCGATGAACGTGTCCCGGTCTCCCCTGAAGCCATTCGGAGGCGTCGGCACATAGATGCTGCGCCGTCGTAGCTCCACGGCATCATCCTTGATTGGACTCACTCCGAAATATTGGTACAGGACGCTGAGGATGGGGATCGAGAGCCCGTGGACGACAATAGAGAATAGCACAATGAAGTAGACCACTGTGATTGTACCATGTCAGCGAGAGCAAGATTTAGCGTTTGACTGTGACGTACCAGGGCAAAGCGCATCAAGTAGTTGGCGTTCTGCAGGACTAGCAGCTTCACGTGGTGGAAATAGGAGGCGGGTGTGCTGAAGGTAGTACACCGCTCCGACGCCAATAGGGCCAAAGTAGCCCATAAAAACAGCTTCCTTCCAGTTCTTCACCACCGCCGGCATGGCTTTGTAGGTAATGAGCAAAGCGGGAATGCGACGAAAGAGGAGAACGAGGACACCAAGACCGATGAGACGTGGGTATGTGATCCCTGTGGTCTCGGGCTGATGGAACTCTGCCCAGGGCAGTGCTGTGCCGATGTACATGAAGCCGCCGAAGTTCAGGAGTACGTCGATGCAGGAGTTGACTTCGTCGTGGCGACGTTCGGACTCTGCGAGGAACTGTCCATCCCAGTTCAGTGCACATCCTGCGACGAAGCAGGCTAGGAGGTCACTGGTCCCGAGAGCTCCGCAGGTTCCAACGATGAATAGCTATTTAAACTCGTTAGCTCAATACTTTACAGTAACATTTCTTTCAGGGGGTGGACTGTTGTACTTACCCCAAGCGCCGTTGGGAAAAGAAGATAGCACTCGGTGTCAATCCACTTTCGCGACAGGGATAACCTGACACCTATCCTGGCGCAGTAGCCGGCGACAGCCCCGTATGCCATGGCCAGCAGGACAATGTAGGCAAGGGTCTCGACTGCCCAGTTCTTCATAGCAGTACCGACGTCGTTTGTCTGGGGCCCAACACCCCTGTTATGATCGACCAAGCCCGCGGGGCGGTTCTCTGAGAGGCGCATGAGGTTGACGGCAAGCATGAGGAAGGGGGACGCGAAGCCATCATTGGCACCCGCCTCGGCGGATATGATCTCTCGCAGCGGCCGCGCCACGTACTTGTCAGCAAAGGGGCCTTTGGCAACCGCCTGGGAGAGGATGGGGTCGGTGGAGGTTACGCATGCGCCGATGGCGAGTGTTGCGAGGAGCGTGACATGGGGTATCGCCGCTAACACACAGGCCGATGTGCATAGCCACATGAGTGTCATGATCGGAACGAGACACACGAGAATCTCCTTGTAGCGTAGATGAAGATATCTAGCGGGTAGCTGGTACCCTGCGATAACTCTGTAGGAGTCAATAAGTTTATCTGCGATCCGTGAGTGGGATGACGATGTGTTCACGATGACCGTTGAGATGATCACTGCCACTGAAGTCCTAAAAGATCGAAATAATGACTTACAGCTGGATACCAATCATAACTCGCATCACGCCGAGTGTTATGGCACCTTGCTGGCCTGGGATAGCTGAACCCCATCTATTGGCGTCAAGGAACTTTGCCGCGAGGGGGCCCAAGGTAATTCCAAGCAAAAGGGCTGGTACTGTCTGCGTTTGAGCAATTGAAAAATGACAGTTGGACCTTGGGGATAGGCACTGACAAGCTTCACCGAGATACCAGACACTCTTGACCTTGACAGCCACCAAGCCATACAAAACAGTGAAAGTGCCTCGAAAATGTCAGTAACGTCAAAACTGGGCAGTTCATCGTGTATCGGGACTCACCAAACACAGCGACTACCACATTCAGCTCGCTTATATCAAGTGTCGGCATCGTGAACGGCCTGGCTCAGATGTCTGGGTTGAATGTTAGGGAACAGTCACAAGAAACTTCTTCGAGGACCTCAAGAATTCAAATGGGATGGTAAAACAGGGCACGGCAAGAAGTGAATACACAGAACGCAAGCCAGGGCAATATGGGATGCCGTGGACGTGTAGGTCGTTATATGCGATAGGGATTGACTGAGACAGCGAAATCGCCGGCTTGGCAACGGTTTTCCACGATGCATGCCCGAAGCCATGAATCCCAAGATCGTAGCTTTGCCTTGTGCTTCCTTCTGTCGCTACAGTGTCTCATAAACAGTTGCCTAGAGCTTATCCACGAAGACCCCATGAGCTCATCTCGCGTGCGTCTCCAAAGTGTCGTCTGAGGCCAGGCGTTTGCCACCTCCGGACTACTCTCTTGAAAAGAGGGCTCGAAATCCTGTAAGACCACTTGTGTTGCTGATGAGTGTTACTCCGGGTTGGCCATCTATGTGTATCGAAGGACCGCGTGACGCAAAGCGAGTGGCTGACGAACCAGTGTGACTGATCGACTGGACAGATGGCGACATCGCCGATCGCGAACGATGGTAGTACTCGGCAGAACGAGATGTTGAAAACCACGATACCGGAATCATGATGCCGATGACAAGGAACGAGGATGACCATGTCGAGATGCCAAAGGTGACACAGAGAGAGGTTTAAGCTCGACAGCTACGCAACGAGGCGCGGCATATCGTTTGGCCCTCGGTAGGATGTATCCGGGTGTTTGATGTCGTGTCAGAATGCAGTATGCTTCCTCTCGATCATAGGACGGCAACCTTCCTTCCGGTGCTGATGTCTGCCTTTTGACTGTCGAGTATTTGATAGGCGCTAGTCGCCCCCCCCCCCCCCCCCCCCCCCCCCCCTAACTCCTGCATTGGGCGACACTGTTCTGATCTGGGGTGGCCCGTGCGTCGCATTCAGATGAGGGCATGCTTGTGGGTGCCAGACTCTCACCACATGTCAAGATGACGGGCTATCATTCGAGAGTGCGGGCTGTGTGAGCCAAGCAGTTGGGACGGATAGCTTTGTGCAAGCGTTGACTGACGATCGATGCAGCTATTGGCAGCCTAGTATATTCATGGGCTTCTAGATGAGGCAGGCAGTACCGTTTCGAGACAAGTATGGTCGTATAAGGGGTCATAATGTAACTTCAAAGGCGTCGGGACTGTGGATCTCCATCTGTGTGTAAACCACGGCACTTATGACAAACGCCCATGTCTGATGCATACGATGATGAGTAGCTCTAATCGTTGGAGGTGCTCCAAAGTTCCTGGGGGCTCGAGAAACAAGCATAATCATCTGTGTTCGATGTGATGCACTCTCTGATGATGATACCCTTCGTATCACGAACTCAACGGTCCCAGTACCACGGGCTTCCATGAACCTGAGGCCACCAGAGGCCCACACCCACACACGGGATTTAGGAGTGCTACTATATGGGCCCAAGCTTTAAAAGCGCTCAAGCTAGTCAAGGATTCAATTTCTCGAAGGAATGACAGGAGGCGTCTTTTGAACCAGCACAAGCCCATGTATCATACAGGACTGTCACTTCCAGGCAGGCGGTATAGACGTGGTCATGAGCACACACTCCGTCTTAGCGACGACTCGCTTCGTGGTTTCTACCAACCTTCTCTATGCCTTGGATCTATAATGTTCTGTGGTTATCTGTTTCACAGCATGCTAGGAGACGCAGTGCTTGGGTTGACCACGGCAATCTGGTTGTGGACCGAGCCGTAGATCTTGGTCCGGTCGATACTGTTGTCTCACTAGGCTGGCCGAAGCCGGAAGGTCCAGATATGAGCTGAGGAGCAGAGTAGATGATGACGAGCAGCTAGAAGCTCAGATGGAGCTTACCCGGCCGCAATTCCCATCCCAATGTTGTTGCGAAATTGTTACCGAACTGGCAGGGCTGGGTGGACCACGTGAATCGTGCAGTGGGAAATCATGCCACTGGAACCTGTTTGAGTTTGTAAACTGTTACTAGACTTTTCAAGATTACGTATTGGATTCTACAGTGACATGCTCTGGAAGCTCTGAGGCACATTGACTTCGACAGTTGGCTTGCTAGTACCTGCAGATGCAAGCTCGAACAAGGATGAGAGTTCGAGTCTCCCAAGCCATTACCAACTACACACATCATCTTTACATCTAAGCATCTTTGGTTCCCGAGCGTGGGCGGCATCTTCAAGAGCCGCATCCCGACACGGGGGTGGGATCGCGATTCAAGATCAGCCTGATCAGGCATACCAGCTCCCTAGGGTCACTGAAGCTTGACCCGCGAAAGTCTATTCGTCTGATCTGAGTCTCGCGTTGAACGACGTCGATGCGGCCCGCTCTTCCAGGCACAACGGGCACCAGAGTGGCGCGCGGGTGAACGGCGTTTCCACATCAAGTATAGCTAGCCGGCCGGCTCGGTTGTAACAGCCGAGGTTTTCCAACAGCAACCCGGTCGACCATCCCATTTGCGGGCTTAAAGTTTCCATGTCCTTTCGAGTGCATGAGTATAACTGCCAGGTTATGCTACAATTTGGGTCGGTAACTCGACTCAACCCATTCGAACGAGACATGTTCACCCACCATCTGCTCCATCATCATTTCACCCAGAATGCGTCAAGCTCCTCATGAACTCAGCCTGATCAGGTTTACAATTGAACCAGTGGACTATAGGTCGAAAAGATTTGGTTGATTGCTCTTCGTCTAAGACATAATGAGGCTGCCCACACTCAAGCTTTTCCTAGAGAGGGATCTGTTTACCAGTCTAGTAGAGAAGTGTCTTTATTATTAGCTGTGCACCAAAGAGAATGCTCCTCCTCGGAGAATTAGTTAATGCTAACGCTCGTGGATCTCTCAGCTCCGCCTTATCCGTCCGATCATCGACAAGGTGCGGAATCCTCCCCGGTTTATGGAGGAGCCTAGCCTCCCAGACCCAGATAGAGGACCACATGGGAATCCCTTCTCGGTCGCACCGCTTGACTCGCTGCGCCCCAACGGTGGATGGGTGACGTTATTCGCCCCAGAACCTGGCAAGGTGTCCTCGAAGGCACCCAAAAATGGTAGGACCAAGCCGGCAGAGCAGAGCAGTATAAGGCCAGGGCTAATTCCTTACTTGGTCTCGATCGGTACACAACTACATTGTCAGATCATTGCTTGTACACTGAGAGCTGTGCATCCCTGTACCTTCATTTCTCGTCAACATGTTGCAGAAATCAGTTCTCCTGTCCTCTGCGGTGACCAGTGCTCATGCACTTGCCACTCGCCAGGCCGGATGCACCTTCAGCCTCACTACAGCAGGCACAGTCGCTGCACCGGTCGGTCAATACGGCAGTGGACAGACCAGAGCCGGGCTCGCCGACACACCCTCTAGCTTCTCCTTGACCGGAAACACACTCTCAGATGCCCAGGGCCGAGGATGCTGGTGGACACCGCCCGCCACGGTATTGCAGTGCGATGTTGGCCAAGCTCCTGAACCGGGTTTCACCATCGGCTGCGACGGCACAATTTCGTTCAACGGCCAGACGACCTTTTACGAATGCCAGACGGGCGCCGACGGTCTGGTCATGATCTACCAGCAGCCGCACGGATCCGACTGTGGAGAGATCACCCTCGTCGCTAACGGTTGTCAAGCAGCTGACTGCGCTGGCTCGGGCAACTCTGCCGGAGCTGGAGCGGGTACGACTCCAAGTGCTGGTGCTGGCTCGGGCACGACTCCAGGTGCTGGTGCGGGCGCGGGCACGACCCCCGGTGCTGGTGCTGGTGCTGGTACGACCCCCGGTGCTGGCGCGGGTACCACTCCTGGAGAAGGCTCTGGTGCTACGCCTACGGGCGGCGCCGGTGTTTACCCAACAGGCGGTGCAAGCACTGCCCCCAGAGGTGGCGCGGGCACTGTTCCTGGAGAAGGCTCTGGTGCTACGCCTACGGGCGGTGCCGGCACGACTCCCGGTGCTGGCGCGGGCACGAACCCTGCTGCTGGTGCGGGCACGACTCCCGGTGCTGGCGCGGGCACGAACCCTGCTGCTGGTGCGGGCACGACTCCCGGTGCTGGCGCGGGTGCTACCCCGGGAGCTGGCGCGGGTACTACCCCCGGAGCTGGCGCGGGCACTACCCCTGGAGCTGGCTCCGGTGCTACCCCTGGAAGCGGTCAATGCGATCAATGCCCTGCCCAAACTACGACGGTCTACGTCACAGAACAAACCTCGTATGTGACCGTGTCAGATTGTGGCGGACAGACACCGTCCGCTGGTGTGCCGGGGGCCGGACTACCAGGAACTGAGACCGGTCCAGGTGCGCCTGGCACCACTGGCATCCCTGGTACGGAAACCGCTCCGGGCGCAACGGGTTCGGCTGGAGTTCCTGGTACCGGAGCAGGTTCTGGGCAAACATACCCCACCGGTACTGCACCGGGCGAGACTGGCGTCCCAGGTACTGAGACTGGTCCCGGAAGTGCCGGTTCGACTGGAGTTCCGGCTACCGAGACAGCACCAGGCGGATCGGGCGTTGCGACCGGAACTGCTCCCGGACAGTCGTCGTACCCCGGTACCGGTGCCTCGACTGGCACTGGATCCACGCCGACTTCGGGCTCAGGTTCCGGCTCAAGTGGTTCGGGCTCTGGATCTGGATCTGGATCTGGTTCGGGCTCTGGCTCAGGCTCTGGTTCAGGCTCTGGCTCTGGCTCTGGCTCTGGCTCTGGCTCTGGCTCTGGCTCTGGCTCTGGCTCTGGCTCTGGCTCAGGCACTGGTTCAGGCTCAGGTTCTGGCTCAGGCAACTGCCCCGCCGAACTTACCGGTGCCTGGGAGTCTCCCAACGTGATCGTCCCAGTCGACAGCGGCAACCCCAGCACCGCGTACGGCCAGTCCTACTTTGGCGAGGTCTCATCCACCATCTCCACGGTGTTCAACTTCCCCATCCCCGCCAGCGACAACGGCCGGACCTGCAACGTGATCTTCATGTTCCCGACGAAGCCCGAGCTCGAGACGTCGTCGTTCAACATGACGGGCTCGGGCGCCATCAACTTCGCGCGCCTGAGCGGCGAGGTCAATGCCGGCACGACCTACAGCAACGTCCCCGCCGTCGCGCAGCAGTACGCCCCGGTCACGGCCGTCCCTGGAAATGCTTACACGCTCGACTCGTTCGCCTGCCCCGGCGGCCAGAACGTCGCGGTCCAGATGAGCAGCCCTGGGGCCGCCACCAAGCTGCGCTTCTTCGAGGATTACAACCCTTGCCCTATTGGGTTGTTCATCACCACTTCCTAGAGTGGTTGATCGAGGATATTCGGTCATGTTCATGGAGTTAAACGGATGCATATGGAAAATGGATAAGGTATTGGACTGGGAGGCATTGGGAAATGGTTGGACTAACGGTTGGAGTACTTGGGGCTCGGCAGGGTATGAACTTGATGGGCGCACACGCACTCCTTCCGTGTATTAATGTAGTCCGTAACCAGAATGGAAAGTCTTGATCATGATACTGAATGATGCATGTCTACTTGGTCCGTTTGATGGCACTCTTGTCTGAAGTACAGAATAGTCCATTGAAGCTGGCAGTAATGAAACGCCGGAATGGAACGTCGAGACATGAGTGGAGGGATGGATTGAGGAGCCCATAGACTGTACTGTTAAACGTGGTCATGCAAAGCAATACACAATCAGTGCGATACTGCAGGGCGCAGATCATGCACTAGAGTCTGTAGCGAAAGCCAAAGGTCTTCCAATCCGTCGCGTCCTCGTAATCCTCAGGCCGGAGCTGGACCTCGTTGACGACCACAGCCACCTGGTGCTGGCTATCAACGTCGACGACCTTGCCTCCGCTCACGGCACCCGAAGCACCCGCGCTCCCTTCGACCCCCTCTTCGCGCTGTCGCCTTCTGTTGGTCAACTGCAGATAAACCCTCAACACAGCGACTAAGCCTATGGCGAGCGCATAGCAGATCATAATGGCGCGGAATGCCGTGTCGTAGGTTGGCTCCTCCTCCTCCTTGAACAGCTGGGGTCCCACAATGTTGCCAGCGCAGTAGGCGATGAACAGCATCGCTGTCATTGTCATCTTCTTGGTGACGCCCCGGTAGTTTGACTGCACGAGAGATAGCAGGAGCGGCAAGCCAGCTGGCCCGGTAGAGAGGAGGAAGTACCCGAACAACGAAGCCCCATGAGGGATTTTGTCGCGGCTCCCGATGAGTGCAGATCCAATGACGGGAGGCAGTATAACAAGCGCCAGCAGGATGCAGTTCATCGAGCGGAAACGTCCCGCCAACCACCCACTTCCGTAGATGACTGCGACCGTGATAACGGAGTAGGGTATGTTGATCAGGGTCGACTCAAGTGAGGTGAAGCCGAATGACTTGATGACGAGGTTTGCGAAGTTCTGAGTACCTCCGTTAGGAATCTGGCAAAGCAGTGCAATGCACCAGATGATCCACGTCTTCAGATCTTTGAGGCATTCAACCACCTGCTCCCACTTCCAGGCGGTCTTTTCGGTGCGACCGGTGCCGGCGATAACGACTCGGTCTCCTGCCCATTGGCGTTCCTCGGGAGACAGGAATTTGGCTGTAGATATGGAGTCGGGCAGGAAAAAGAACAGTGCGAAGCCCATCAAGAAGGTGAGAACACCGAGGATGATGAACATCCAGCGCCAGGGGCCCACGTTGTCGGTGATGTGACCGATACCATAGGCGAGTAGGGATGCCACGATGCCGCCGATGGGGTTTCCAGCAAACCAAATACCGGTCCTGGAGGGGATCTCATCACGGGTGTACCACGTGGACGTGATGAACATTAGTGCGGGCGAAATCGTGGCTTCGGCAACTCCTAGGAAGAAGCGAACGGTCATCAGACCTCCAAAGTTGGAACATGCCGCCGTCAGAGCGACCACAGCGCCCCAAAAGAACGTGTTGATGGCAACATACTTCCCTATCGGCAAGCGCGCGATGAGAAGAGTGGTCGGGTACGTCCAGAAGAGATATCCAAAGTAGAAGACGCTCGAGATCCAGGAATACTGTTGGTCAACCAGACCGTTATCGTCCCCGAGACCGAATACCGATGCACTCGAGAGAATGGTCTTGTCCATGAAGTTGAACATGTAGATGATGAAAAGCAAGGGCATGATGCGCCAATCGATGCGACGCAGAATGCGGCGCGCCCTCTCGTCGTCAACATCCTGATGCGTCTGGGTGGTCTCCTCTGGCATGGCAGCCTGGGTGATCTCGTCTGTGGCGGCCATGGTGAGGCGAGTCTGGCTGTTACTCGATTCGGGCTGATCGAAGGGGAGCTGCTGCTGCCTCTTCGCCCAATGTCTGGGCAGGGCCATGATATGATATCCTTTCGCGACGGACGACGCCCAGCGATCCTGGGGCGAGCTGAGCCGAAGGCGGCCTCGATATTGTTGATAACACCCCTGATATCGCAGTGATATCGCAGTCGCTGCGTATCTTTGGCGAATCAACTTGGCTGCTATCCCGGTTCGTCGGCCTGTCCCGACCCGACCAGCTGACCGGGTCTGCCGCGCTTCAGGTCGGCGACTGATGCTCGAAGCAACATTGAAGTGTACGCACGGCGTACTAAGCTTTGACCATTTGATTCACTGGCACTGCACGAAGCATCTGTTGAAAGAAACAGAGCTCGACACCGTGACGGCGCTTGAACGATGTGTGGCTGAATGTATGGCTTGTGCTTCCAAAGCCCAGCCACTGTTCTTCAGCCACTCCAGCTTCCACCTCGGCTTTCCGGGCTTCCCCAAATTCGTCCTCATCTTAAAGTGAATGCTCGGACCTCCAGCAAGGGCTAGGGCTCGCGCTCGGCCCGATCCAATGGCTATAATAAAGACCGTCTCGTCTCGTTTCTTGTGGGATTTAATCTTCCCTTCTTCATCTCCCAACTCGTCAACGCGCGGGCGCTTGGTTGGGATTTCGGTAGGGCTCCGGCCTTCCCTCAATTTCGCATGTGAGACCATTACGGTCCACACACTCTCAGAGAGCACTACGGCCTCTTCTATCCGACGTGCGACGGCGCGTTCATCAATGGCCTATCATCGTTCGAGTCCTCTCCGCGAGGAAAAGCCCTCCATGAGGCATCGTCATCAAAGGTCCTCTCCGCGAGGCATCGAAAAGGAACAGTTATGGACACAAGTTTGGTCAGTATCATCTAGCTTCACCCTACGACTAATGGGTTCTACAGTCCACCTGGGGCTAGGGCACTCGCACGGCCCGACAGCGTTCCCGTAAGGGACCAATGCCAGCCAGGCTGGAACGGGGAGAACTTCCCTTCTCCATCTCTCGATCGTTGTACGGGGTCACGCACGGCACGCAATGGCCGCGATTTCACGAGAGGGGACTGTATTGTGATGGTTTTTCCCACTGGGTTTCCCATCCTTCAGCATAAAATGCTTGCAAATGCTACATACCTCCTACTAAACTCCAACATTGTCGGGTATGAGTTTAGGCAGCTTCAAGGGGCCTGGCTGCAGGCCTCGGCGGCTGGCCAGGCCCCTTCCAATACAAAAGTGTCTCCTCACCATGCCTCCCGTCCACGTAGCCCGATGCTGTGACCATAGACTTTGCATGCGTTCTCCTGGTGTCGTTCTGCCACATGGACGTATGGCCACCTTCGTCCGTACGACTGCTTTCTCACACCGGGTCGGTAATGATCGAACCTCGCTCCACCGATGTCCGCGCACTCACCCGTGTTGCAGACTTATTAGCTGTGGAGCACCATATGAAGCTCTGCACTACGCCAGCGCTAGAACCTTGTCCGGCTCACCTTTTTTTCCGGCGCATAGTCGCTTGCGCCTTGTCTTCGGTGTCGGTCTTGTCTGTCAAGCGTTTCATTCCTCTAACGATGTCGATTGTCGATATGAATCCCGCGCATGGTTGCGCTTCGTTAGCACCTTGAGCGCCAGTGCTGAGGCACGGCTCCATTACACCACAAGCTTGACGCGGGTTCAAGCTCGTGCTTTTGATCTTCAGGAGCTTCAGTCCTTCATCACCACCATGGCCAGCGACACGAGTACTGCAACGCAGAGTGATTCAGTCACACGGAGGTTGACATTGCCTCTAGCGTCTACGGCCTTGGCGGATCACCTAGCTGAAATGGCTTCTTGTTTGCGCAGGACGGCAAGCTAGCTCACCAGTAGTTAAGTCGATCTGATAGGGTTTCTAAGATGCTTCCTTCGCCATCAGACATGGGCGCAAGTATGTCTTGTTACACGCACAAGGTCACCAGCTCAGCTATCTTGGACCGTACAATGGCGCTAAGGTATTTCGAATTGCCGAGACACGATCACCAACGAATGAACTGTTAGATGGATGCAGCATCTGTTTTCAAGGTAGTCACTGCTTTCGTCTAATAGAAGGAATGGAGTGGTTAAAGGACTACGGATCCGTATAGGGTGGCTATATTGCTTTTATGATCTTTTGTTACTTAATTAACGGTTTATAACTTTAAGCCTTGCTTTTATAATCATCGAGTTATTTTATTTTATGACTATAAGTCATTTAAATATAATAAGGCCAAAGGTTTAATAATAAAGAAAAAGAGCAAATAATACAAAGGTTACACCTTTAAGCCTAAAATAGTAATTAAAAAATTACTAATATAGCCTTTACCTTTAGCCTGGCTTTTTGCTAGTCACCACTTCAACCGTTAGCCGATAAAACATTAAGTTTAAATTAACATGTTGCGTTATAATATACGTCGGGCTAGGCTTACCTAGTTACGTAGTTAAAAAAAGTTTTTTTTAAACCGCGTAGCTATAACACCGAAGTAAACTTTAATAGTAATGTTTTGGGGCAGGGTTGATGTCAAATACAGCCAGGTCTGTGGCTGTTGGATTAAAGGTACGCCTAAAAGGCACCATGACTGTCACGGCGAGCGTACTGAGGAGCTGGGACATGGCCGGCAGCAAGCAGCTATTACTCTATTGACGAGAATATCAAGACTAGAGAGGAAAGGAAGAGAGAGAGAGAGATAGGTACAGTGGGAGGTTGCCCCTTTAAGGGGATCCTCTGGTCAGATCCTTCCCTTATTGGGAAGTATCCGCTTGTCATGTGGGAAGGTCTGTGCAGGCCGTCACACTGACAGGTAGACAACGGAACCTAGTTGTTCCGTCCCGATCCAGCCCCCTCTGGCACAAAACTGCCACGGTCGCACAAGGACACTCTAGACAGAGAGAATACACACACACACTTCACTATGACAATTGGCTCAAATCTGACAGTGGCATATAAAGGCCACCGTTCATTTTTTGTTACTTTCTTTCGTCTTCCTGCACAGCCACTCCTATCTCATAACATATACAATTGAGCGGTCAGTTCAGACACACATTGTATTATCTCTATGTGACACACCTTTCAAATTCACTGCGTGGCTGTCACGAAGCGTAAATATGGAGTGGACGTAACAGTCCTGCTTTCACTACGTACGTGTAAGAATCTCTCGGTGAAGAGGGAAAGAAGGATCTGGCCCACCAGCTAATCTAGTAGCAGTTAAGGCAACACGTCCTGTGCGCCAGGTCACCTGATGCAGCGCACTGACCACTGCAGATGGGGTGTCAGACCTGATGGGAGGTCAGACCATCACAGTGGCTTTGCCAATGGCTCTCCCTCCTCCTTCTTATATCCATTATACAAGCAGCCCCATTGTGGGTGTTGTTGCTGTCCCCGACTCAGTAATAAAATTTATAGCCTTATGCTACGAAAAATCTTTACCGCTACAAGTTATTTAAAAGCTTAATAAAAGCCCTTTCAACTTCTTTTCTCTTTTATATAATTAATTTAAACACTTTCGTTTTGTTAAGTTTAAAACGTTAAAATCATTTAACAACCGTTTTAAACAACGTTACGGCAGTTTAACGAACCTAGCCCGCTTATAAAACGACGTCGCTTTATAACTACTATTTTGAACGTTTATGACTTGTTATAAAGCTATTAAAATAAAACCTTTTTACGGCGATATTATCGACTTTACGTTAAGTAATTAAATATATAGCACGTACGTTATACCACTTTTTAAAGTAAACCTTAAAAAAAGCTTATTTTTTAAGTAATGATTAAAAGGTTACTTTAAAAACGAAAATATTTCCGTTAACGTTATAAATATTAATATTCGGCTAGTACTAAATAATATTAATTAAAAGCTATAAGGCAAGCTTAATAAGGCGACGCGAAAATTACTAGCTAAATATATTAAATTTTATAGCGACCAAGGGTAATTGAAAGAGATAAATATTGAAGGGCTAAGCGTCCTTTAAAGCGTTAGTTAAAGGACTAAACGGCTAAGTGTGACGTTCTGGTCATACGGTACGGTAGCCCGAAGTGGTGAGCACGGAGCCCGGCAACCAGACGTCAGATACATCTACCACTATAGAATACCAGCTGCCAGCTTGGTATTCCACGTCCTTTTGTGGGGGAAACAGACTGTTGGTATGGTGGTCAGCACCTGGTTCCGTGACACTAAGCCAAATAAAGCTCGAAGTAAACGGCCGACGTATTAAATAAAGGTATAACTAAAAGTAGCTGAAAGTTATATCTAAATATAACAAATAAAACAATGCAGTTAATGTGTGTATAATGACGGGTCTTTTATCGCTTTATACCTAGGAAGGGCTTTTATAATTATTGAAATAAAACGATAATAAAAGAAAATTTAATGTATAATTAATCATAACAACTACTTTGATACGATTTTATTTAAATTTGATACGGGAAATATAATATGGAAGATTTACCCTTCGAATCGACCATTATATCAACTATTAAAGCCTTTATTACTCTTCGTATTGCTACCCTTGTTTATCCTCTTTATTTACTATTGTTACCGCTACCCCTATTCACTGAACAACCCACTATCCACCTATCTAACAGGTCCCTATTTTCACATGAATGACCTGACTTCACCTCGATGGCGGACTAGACGAGCAAAAGCAGAACAGCGCTGCAGAGGACCAGCATCCCCCCACGAATATTGCACACATCCAGGACATCACTTATTCGTTCTCTCATTCGGTCTTCGCGGAGCCCGTCAGGTTCATTGAACATAATCAATCCGTCGTCAACGGACTCTCCTACGAAGAATACTACGAACGCAGCTGGCGGAAATAACACAGCCACTAGTTCCCCGGAGGCCGACTATATTGATTGCCAAACCGACGACGATGATGTGTGGGTGACGAGGCGAAGTTTCATGGCTCGCAGTCATTAATGTGACCTTGCGGATGACCAGATTTGGTTGTACTCAACCCTCATAAGTCTCCGGTGCGCGCCATGTTGATGACCCTCCAGATGACCCGCGGAAATTTCGAAATACCGGAATAAACATACAGGAAATAGCAAGTCAGGTTTCATACGCCACTTATAATGTCTATTCCATGGTGCTTATTCCGATTCGATGATTTACCGTTGTTTGCTGGACGGGTAGTATACGGAGACTTGTGAGGATTCAGTGTACCTACTCAGGCTCTTGCATTGTGGTAAATGTCACTTCGGTCAATTGCTTCCGGACAAATGACAGCAATGGGCTACGTTGACCTCCGTGATGTGCGGGAAGAACGTTCAGGTTGCAACGATGGCCCGTCTACCTTCCATCTTGTGATTGAGGAAGTGCTCTCCCGCATGCCCAATGCAATGGCTATGAGAAAGAAGCATCTGACAACGTCAGGACCTACCTAATGACGACCTGCGTTTGGCCCGTTCCTGCCGCTCATGACTTGGAGTCAGGCAACATCCGCCAAAGGCAGCCATCACGCTGATCTTTCCCCGTCGATGACTATCGTGGGAGGACTACGGCATTCGGAAACCAGCATTTCAAGGCCCTGTCTCCAAGGTCGATTCCATACGCACTCCTGTGTACTTGTCCGTCTATGGTACCTCTTAGACAACGCGCTGGATTCGAATTACCACTTCAGATACTGATTCACCCTGAGTCCTTCATACTGCATCACTTCCACATCCTCATCCTCTGTTGGCCACCACGCCGAAATATGGTCCTCGCATCAACAGTGATGAGCCTCTTCCCCACCTGGAAGATCTCCATGATCCGAATGATTCTAGCCCCGTTGCTCTGATCCCCATCCCGGCGGCTCCCGATTCTCGATCCGACAATGATCCACCTCGTCACGATCCGGAAGAATCCGATGAGTCGATTGAAACAACCCTCCGTTCTGTATCCGCCACCAAGGAGACCCCCGGCCGATCTCGTTACGAGAGAAACGAGCCTCGTCTCGACTCAGGAGAACCCCGTGATCCGGGGCCCCTTGATCCGGGGCCCCATAGTCCGAGCGCACATTCTGTATTGGCCAAAACAGAGGCTCCCGACTTTCCTCAAACACCACCCTCCCAAGCGTCGGTACCCCGAGCGCAATCTTACCGGACTTTATCTTCGCGAGCATCTTCTTGGCATACTGTTGTCGACGACGACCGTTCTCGAAAGGGCCTGGAATGGATCGGATCTGTGTGGAAGCGTATTCCGGTCTGGGAATGCGACCTTACCGACGATGCGATCGGAGTGTTGTTGAGAGATGCCGGGATCATTGGACTGAGCTCCGTAGTCACATTCGTACATCTTACCGACCTATCTAAGCAGCCGACAGTATCTACCATGGACCGGCTGCACACAAGAGTAGCCTGTCTCTCCAGGGGTTGTACAAAAACCAGCCACAACACGTCAGCATCATGAAGCACCTGAGGCTTGGAGAATTATCGATCACGTTGAGCCGGCCCCGCGGTTACCACAACGTCTACCGGGTTCAAAACAAATACACCAATGCCATTTTGCGAGTCCTCTTGCCTCTGGAGCCGGGTTACAACGCACTTTCTATCGTCGCATCTCTCGAGTGGGCTCGCCAGGCCAACTCGCTGCCTGTCCCGCAGGTACTCCGCGGTGACAACTCGGCGAGCAATACCCTTGAATTCGAATGGATCTTACTTCAATACATAGACGGGGCGCCCTTGGACGAGGATGAAGATTAGGAACCGTCAGTCATAGCGATCGCATTATTCTTTGCTAAGAGGTTTCGCCAGCCCAAAAAGGGCATCGGCAGTCACTTTCCTGCCGGGCAGCGGACTGGCCGCTCTTTCCTTCCCATACCCACGATGAAATTGAGGGTTGGGAGGATGATGTCCAAGGAATTCTACTGGGCCGACCATTACGACTACGAGGATGTGCACCGAGGGCCATTCACGACTAGCTACGCTTGGATTGAGTCCATTCGACAACTGGTCAAAATTGACTGCAGTAATTTGGACGCGGGCGGGGAACCGATCTATGCGAATGACGCTCGGAAGATCATCAAGCGACTTGCAAACAAACTAAAAGTGCTGTTCCATGTTTCCGGACCCACGGAGTCCTCTGTTGTCACCAATTGTGATCTTTCTACTCGCAACATCCTCGTCAAAGATAACGAGCTCGCCGGGGTTGTCGGCTGGGAAAACTGCGTCGCTTTGCCACGGTGGGCTGCTTGCGAGGTACCCGAATTCCTTCAGGGAAGGACGCGCCACGAAGAACCAGACGAGAAAGATTACGATGAGCGAGACCACGAGGAGTACGACAGTCACGTTATGGAATGGATCCGCACCAAGGCACGCGGAGTGTTTCTGGGAGAGATGGCAGGTCTCGCACCTGAATGGATAGCGACTTACCAGCACGGGATGACCATCCTAAGGAAAGACTTCATGAGGGCTGCCAGGATGTGCCACGACCGAGAAAAACAAGGCGCAATCAATTCGTGGCTCGACGACTTCGAGACCTTCCAACATAATCGATACGAGCAACATCCCCAAGGTCGTGATACTTCACTTGAGGAGCTGGGATATACAATTCGGAGCCTTCGAGACCACCTTTACGACCCCGACAACCTATCTACCGGAGTTGGACCACAACTGACGTAGTCGGGGACCGATGTTCCATCTGAAAGACCCGACATGCAGTCGGATGTCCTGGCTCTGTGCTTGGCTGAAGCTTGCAAAGGCCTGTCCCATGCGGTGCAGCCAGCATCTGTTCAAGAGTCACTTCATATCAATGCTCGCGGGTATTACAAGAGGCAGCGATGCTATGAGGGGTGGGAATATGGCTTTTGTGTGCGAAACATACTTTCTGTGCGAGGTCATTGACTCTCTAATGCTGGCATTCTATATCCAACTCGTCTCAGCACATGGATATAGAACCCATGTGCCAGTTTGATATAAATACAGCAACTTTATTTCGCAACGTGCAGGTTTGACAGCGTGCTCAACGGAACGAACACCCTGCAATAAGCAGCTATATACTACTTAGTCGTACCTAATGCTTACCCCCCTTTGCTTATTTCGCAGATCACAAACGACCCTACATATCCAGGTTCTGACCAGCTGCTCCAGACCTCTACAAGTACCCGGAGGCCTCAGCCTGGGCAGTACCAACCAAGGGAGACACTTTTGTATCTGAAATGAATATCAAGCACAACTATAGATGCCAAGATGCCCCTCCGCTTCATTTACCCTAGTCCTGATAATCGTAATCAATGTATGGCTAAATGGACTATGCTTTTCCAGGGTCACTTCTTTGCTACCCCAACCGTCATTCCCTCGGCTCTGCTGCTCCAACTACGACTCTGCTGGACTTCCGCTTCCCCATGAAGGGAGTCTACTACACGGAGGCGCCGCACGCGATGGGCCATGACAGCTAAGATATCGGGCGCATTCATACGAAGACCCGAAGAAGATCGATCGTCTTGGTCCACCGGCTGCTCCTTGTTTGCTTCTTGCTTGCTCCTTGGTAATCTGGCCCGAGCCCGGTATGACGTTGATGATAAGCGGCCTGGTCTGTATTTAATTATGCATAGTCGTCGCATGTTCCGCACATGTGTACCTGTCTCTGACTCTACTTGTCTAATCACCGCCCTTTACAGCCACCTCCCCCACGTGTTAGATTGTACGCTTGAGTCTAATTTCGAGTGAACCCCTCGACCACGAGAGCTGTGTGACTGACTGGTACTACATTAGTGTCATCGTGTTGCTGCCCTGGTCGACCGCCTAGCATCATATGGATATTCTAGTCCGCATTTGCAGCCGTCTGTAGCTGTAACTTCTTCCCTCCACATACACCAATACAGCAGTATTCATCTGCAACACATTGCCAGACGTTGAGCCGCGGTGATCTTCCTTCAACGACATTGACTCAACACGATCGTTACTTCCACACCACACTCGGAAACTGAAGTCAGAATGCGTTGGGGATTTGGTATCGGATATGCAGCGGCCCTGTTGGGTCTTGGTACGTACGCTCCCTTGGCTGATAAACCTCCGCTGACGCCTACTTGTAGTATCTGAGAGACATGCAGCAGACACCTCTGTAGTCGTCGATGCCGAGACCGGCTTCACCTTCTCGCAGTACAGCGCCGCCTACAAGTTGGGCGCAGACAGCATACTCTACCGCATCGCCATTCCCAGTCCAGCCTCGGATAACTACGACGCGGTGCTGCAGGTCATCGCCCCCACCGATGTTGGATGGGCGGGGCTGGCTTGGGGCGGCCAGATGATCAACTGCCCATTGACCGTCGGCTGGGCAAGCGGAAACACCCCCGTCGTCTCGGTCTTTCATAGCACGTGAGTCAAGCCAATGAACAGGTCCGCGTATTCAAACAATTCCTAATGCGCTCGCAGCTCCCACATTGAGCCGAAACCGTACACCGGCGCCACGCTACAGCTCCTCAAGACGGGCACCAAGGTGAACGCAACGCACTGGCAGTACACGGCCAAATGCATGGGTTGTACGTCGTTCATCGGCAGCGACAACGCCACCAAGAGACTCAACCCCACGGGGTCCAACCGTCTTGCCTTCGCGGAAAGCAAGTTGAATTCGGATAGCGTTGGGGGTCTCACCGTGCATGATGTGTACAACTACTGGGATCACGACTTCGCGGCGGCTGGGAACACTGAGTTTGAGTCGTTGGTTCAGAAGAATATGTGAGGGAAGTTGGCTGCGGTCCCTGGAGAGCTCCCTCCAGCCTCTAGGGGCTTCCTTGGTGAAGGAGAGGGGGCGGTGGGGGTTTGCTGGACGTGTAAGAGCATACACGCCTCTTATTTTGGTTGCACCTGTAGAGGATTGAAGATGACGTGGTTTATTCTTACTAGATGTCTACGCGCGCGTCAATACGATTGTCTTCATCACCGTGCCTGGAAACAGTTCGGCTCGGTGAGGATAGACCTCGAGCAGTGCGATGCTATCAGACATATTCTAACTATGTCGGTACGTGGTCCCATGCTCTTCGGCTACTTGCATGTGGCTTATTGACTAGAATGGCAGTCCGTGTCAATGAGCCTAGAGCATATAGGGGGCACTGTATGTGTTTGCTATTTCTCAACCTGGGCTGCTGCCTAGCAAACGTGAATATCACCTGTGAAAACCCAACAGTTTCGTTGCAGAGTTCCTCTTCATCGTCCCAACTCCATCTCCGAAGGCAGCCTGTAGCTCAAGATATATCATCAGTTCCTACTAGCAAAGCGGCTGCTCGACACTATCCCTGAGCATGTCATTGACGAGCTGCTCTATGGCACACAGTTACATGGTACACTATCTATAGCTGGTGCCGTGGGGCTGACTTCAATGCAGTACCATCCGACCCCCCGAACCGGCACACCCCCACTACCGGCACAGCCAAACCCCGCCACCACCACCAAAAGACCCCCCTAGTCACTTACACGCATTTGAGGCTGTATAGGGTCAAAAAAATCAGCAAAATTATCATTCTGTGGTGTTTTGGCTGCTCAATCGACGTATCTAGCCGGCGCCCGGATTGACCGCCCGGATCTAGTCATCTGGGCTTCTGTAACAGGGGCTTCTACAGCCTTCTCAGCGTCCGTAATCTCCTCATCCTCCTCACCCTCGTCTTTAATAACCTCTGACTCTAAAAAAAAAAAAAAAAGACTCTATAGCAACCAGAACTAATAGATCACCACCCTGGGTTAGTATTTCTATCATTGTCATGAACTTTTTGTTGGGATTTGGCATCTTTTTTTTCTTCTTGGGCTGTAGCAGTTCTAGTTCAGCCTTCAGGGCCCTGATCTTCTGGTCTTTTATAGCCAGCTCCGTCTCCTGGTTCTCAAAGGCATGTGAGATCTTCCGGAACTTCAGCCGAGTGGCTGGGGAACGGTTCTTTCCGAAATCCCGGATTTGCCGGCTCGTGGTAGGGGTCTGTTGGTCCTCTGGCTCCGAGTCCTCCTGTTCTTCTGGCTCGGGGGTCTTCCGCTTGTTTTCTTAGATTTCTGGATGGTTTAGACACTTTTTGTGGCTAATTGGGTAGCATCCTGTTACTCAGAAGCCCGAACAGATATTGTTTTTGGCGTAAATATTATGTTCCTTGCCTTGTTATAATAGCGGATAAAGTTGATCTTGTCAACAGGGGAGGAATCAGTCAGAGAATTTAACTGGGTGAGGAATCTCTGGTAATAAGACTTAAGGGCGTTATAAGGGCCGTTATCCAGTGATTGCATTCCGTGACTAATGTCTGTTGGGAAAAAGCACAGCAAGATATTAGCAAAATAACACTGTATTATAAATTCGTCCTTTTTTACAGTCAGTTGCTATTTAAATCGGCATAAATCAAATAACCAGTAAATAAAATAGAAAAAATTAGTGTACGTACGGAGGTATGGCTACCATGGCCATATAGGATCAAAAAGACTGGTTCCCACTGTTCCTGGCCATGAATTTCATCCACTTGTGGTATGAAAACATGCTCAAGCCACTGGCAGGCGATATCGTTACTGGTCCAGCCGTTTTCCGACGTTATATAGTACCAGTCGGCTATCTTCTGGAATTCCTCGAGGAACCACTGCGCTTGGAGATCTTTTCCCTTGAAAATCAAGCCTGGTTTGAGTACTCTACCGGTAGCTGAAATGGTCTCGATGAAAGATGTCCACGAGCGGCCCTGGGGGCTCTTTAGGAAAGCTTTCCTCGTCTCAGAACTTCCCAGAACTAGGGAATCAATGCCTATAAGGGTAGTTAATTGACTGTGAGGATAGGGGGCTCGAAAGAGTTACCAAAACCCGACATGATGCCGCCCTTATCGATATTGTACGTATTTTCTGGCTTCACCCAGCCGTAGTCCTCCAAGATGTTGAAGAACCAGTTCACAGACTTAGGGGTAAACCCCTTAAACCGAACAGATTCCATTCACTTGCCGATTTTGGTCTGGATGGTAGGGTTGCGTCGTTTAAAGCTATCCATATAGTGGTTCCCAAGTGGTGCGAAGTCCCCCTTTCTTTTTAGGAGCTCTATCACAATTTCCCTGACGGCTGAGTGAGAGGGGGCAAGCCCCAAAGTCTCCTGGCGCAATATCCAGGCTGCTACCTTGCTTTCTTGCTCGGGAGAAATTCTCTGCTCGGTGGTGTGAGCTTCTGTTTTAGTTCCTCTCCCCCTTATGCGTGCTGACAGCGTGCTGGCCGGGACGCCGTATTTTTGGCTGGATTTTCTCACAGACATGCCATTATCTGTGACGTCTAGGTAGGCATCCACCACATCATCCTCTGTATACGTGGGCGGAGGCATCGTGGCTGGCTTCAGGATGCTGTGGTGCATGAGGGACAGGGGCTCACAGAAAGAATTCTACAGCAAATTTGCATTCAAGGGCGCGGCACAGAGGCTGCTAAATGCCGATGCCGATGGCCAGCAATTAAATAATCTATATTAAACTAAACACCAAGAAAAGGGCTATCTAAATATCTAAAGAACGTTTAAATACCCTCAAAAGGGGCTGTAATCTGTGTAAGTGAGTAAGGGGACTTTTGGTGGTGGTTGTGGGGTTTGGCTGTGCCGGTCGGGGGGGTGTGCCGGTTCGGGGGGTCGGATGGTACCGGGGCAAGCTGCAAGAAGGTGTATGAGACTCGCGGTTTATTGTGCATGGCAAACCCGGAAAACAGTCGGGCAAGTACGGCCTAACTTATACAAACTGGAAGCTGGGTGTCTGTTGACTGCATACTGACCCCTGCGACTCGCAGCCGAACCTACTAGCTTTGCCATCGAGACACGACCCGACAACGGAAAATGTGCGGTCGCTGTCCGGCCCATTGCCGTGGGGAGCATCATCCTAGAGGAGCGCTCTACCCTTTCGGTGAAATTGGCCCCGAACAACGCCCTGGATGGCTCGACCCTCTTAGAGATAGTCCAGAAGTACATCGAGCTATCACTCGACGTACGCCGCGAGATCGCCACCCTGCACGCCTTCCTTCGGCCTGATCACGGTCAAGCACTGCGAGACTTACATAGTATCGGCTTCACCGGAAAGCAGATCGCATTCACGACGAAGCTACTGGCCATCGTGTTCACAAACGCCTTCAACAAGAGAAATATGACGACCCTCCATCTCCAGGCCAGCCGCTTCAACCACTCGTGTCTACCGAACGTCGATCTGTCGAAACTTGCTGACAATACGGCAGACGAGCTCGATCTCATGGCCCTGCGCGATATCGAGCCCGGGGAATAGCTGACGCTCTCGTATCTCGACCAGCTGGCTCCTCGCGCTGAACGTCACGCCAAGAGCAAGCGCGTCTGGGGCTTCGAATGCCAATGCCGCGCCTGCAACGAGGATTCTGCTTCGCATGAGAAGATGTTGGATGAATAACGTGCCCTGAAAGTGGACCCCGGTATTCCTATCATCCAGGCACCCTTTGTGACGGTGGCCATGCTCGATGAGGCGCTCGAGCGGTCTGAGAGACGAAGGCAGATCCTGGAAGAACTGCTTGACCTTGACGCCATTCGCGAGTAAGCCATATCTGGATAATCCCCTCAACACGAGAATGAGCGCTGACCTTTACAGACGTTTGACATCATGCGAGATCTACGCCCGCAAGTGGCAGCTGACGGGTGACGAAAAGGTGGTGAAGCGTGAGCTTGCTTCCCTGGATGCGGCAATAGCCCCCTGTGAACGTTGGAGCCCCGGCGGTGACCCAGGCGGTGTCATCATGGGTCAGCCGACATCCGCGCGGAAGATGTCGCAGCAGAGACTCTGGCAGCAAGGCAAAGACCAGTGGCAGAGAATGGGAGGCCGAGGCAATGGGCCTCCTAAGGCTGTTATGCTCAACCTTGACGATCCCGCGGGCACATCAAATGCAGGATTCCATGAAATGATGAAGGTGCTACGTGGCAAAGGTGACGGTTTCAGGAAAGTGGGCACGATGGATCTACGTGATCTCGTCGGCGAAGGGAAGGGCGGCCCAGACTCGGCGGAGTTCCAGCAGCTTTTGAGATCGAAGCTGGGAGCCATGAGCGAGGGGTTGATCGCACCGGAGATCGTACAACAGGTCACTTCTGTCGCTAGGGATAGGCTGTGAAGACATGACGGATTTCATATCCGGTGTTTTTCAGGAAAGCAACGTGGGAAGAGGCATGGAAGAGCACAAGATGGCATTATCTCAAAGGGCTTCGAATGGTACGCAGATGATCAAGCGACTGACTCCAAAGCTACAATGAGTACAGAATATTGCCAGAAACATCCTCGTCTAATAATCATCACGACACCGATGCATAGCGGGTGCCAAGGAAGGTCCCCGAGCAACCAGCACGCGGTCCCCCTTGGAGGAACAACTATCCAGAAAAGCTTCATCTCATTGACAATTGCCAGAAGACTTTGCCAAACTCGCCGCAGGATCCTCTTGTGGATGTAAAGAACAGCATCGCAGAGGCACAATCGGGTTTCCAAGACCTTTAAGCCTTGATCGCCATCTCACCCATGGGGAGAGCTGCGAGCCCTGATAGTTTCACCTATTAGCTATTGTTAAACTCAAGGACCAGGTTCTGGTTCACTTACATCCATCAACATCCTCGGGCGCCTGTTGTTCGATGGTGCAGGCGTTGTACTCAGCAGGCGCCTGGGCGTGGATGCCGGCCGCAGCGCAGTCGGTGTTCAGGTTGCAGCTGTTGTCCATGGCCTTCTGGAGTGTGTCGCCGCCCCAGCCGAAGAGGTAGTCACCGTGGGCGGCGGATCCACTGTGAGAGAGAACCGTGTGAGTAAGTCACCTTCGTTCATACATGTCAAGGAGGTGATTCAGGAGATACACTTACCCCATGTTCATGCTGTAGACGTATGGGTTCGAGCCGTCGGTGGGGAAGGTGGCGTCGTTCGTGAACTCAGTGACGTTCCACATGAGCTCGTACATGATCTGCGGCAGCTTGACGGGGTGCGTTGATGGGCACGCACCGCCGCCGTTAGCACCGGACCCAGCACTGTAAGCGACGTGGCTCTGGTGGTCGGGGCTGTCGAGGTTCGTTCCATCCCAGCATCTAAGTACTTGAGTTAGCTGCCTCTCTTGTGTTGATTTGGGCTGTTGCTGAACTCACGTGGGGAAGATGATGGTCTGGCGGATCATCTTGCAAGTCTTGTCCGTGGGGATATCGACCGTGTCCGAATCAGTGCATGGCGCACCGCCAATAAAGTTGTCCTCGCTCGTGGATGTCCAGCATCGGTGGCAGATGTTTGTCTTGGTTACCTTGTTCGGGTCGGTCTGGGTCGCACTGCCAGCAAGCATGCGGAAGCCCTGCATCAAGTCAAAGAGAGCACCCAAGTGTTCTTCTAGGTGTTTGATTACCTTCTTGAAAGCTGTAACCGTGCCGCTGGGGATGTAATAAACATCAAGTCCGCCGTTGTTGATCAGCTGACCCTGTGGGCCTCCGTTGCCAACCTGCGGGACACGCTTGTATGTTCCGTTCGTGGACTTGTAGAACATGACAGCGGTCCAGTAGTTGGACTTGTCTTCCTTGAAGCTGCAAGATGTACACGACGACGCAGCGAGGTCGTGGGTCGCCGGGTCCATGGTCAGGTTGAGAGAGTTTCCTCCAGCAAACTGGTGAAGATGGGGAGTGTACTGCATTCCGGGGTTCACGAGGGGGTCGATACGGTCGACGACCAACTGCGAGCATGCGAACCGAAGCATGTTGAACTGGGCGGCGGCATTCTGCGCCAGAAGTGCCGGGGCAGCGAGGGATGTCAACTGCATCGTGACTTACTAATCTCTGAGGGCTGTTCGATATGACCTAGAGATCTGCGAACGACGGTGACTGTCTGTATCTTGAAAGAGACGATGCGCAGGAGAGTTCGGGAAGAAAAATTCCGCGGAAGGCTTCGTGTTGTGCGATTCTTATGCATCGTGGGAGCTCAATATCGCCGCCCCTCGCGCCTGAACTGCCGAAGGGGCAGAACTCACTCGAATATTTCGACTTTACCCGGCTTATAAACCTCCCCAATTATAGAACCATGATAGATTGGCCAAGAGACATTGACCCTCGATTGGTCTACGGAGACATGGCCTTCGCAACTACCTTCGGCGGCTGGGTTCTTGTCACTGGCTGGCAATCTATCCATTGGAGCTTGGGCAAGACGACGATCTCTTCTAGACTGACTCGTTGAAGATGAAACTCTCGGCGGCCTGAGCTAGAGTCGGATCCATCGCACTTGATGCTCTGTATATTGGTGGGATTTTGTTTTGACCAATACATCCAGCGTCGTGGGGATTGGGTGCCTTAATGATACCTTCCGATGACTAGGGCCGCGACGGATGTCCTTGGAATGGAAGGATCCAGTACCGAAGCAGTGTCCAGGTTTCACTATACACGGTCAAGATTTCGACCATAGTGGGATGAGATGGGACAGCGCCAAATCTTGTTGCAAGACCGCCTCGGGGTAGCAGGCCGTAATGTGAGGTTGTCCATATAAACGAAGGAGCGTCGTCAGAAGAGACTGCTAACAATCGCGAGTGCTAGCATGTGAGTTGGCCCCAGCACTTGATGACACAGTCAAAGTATGTCCCCACGGGGTATTCGTGACGCTCCTGGATATGATTGATTGTTATATTTGATCTTGCTCAAACCTTGGGCAAGTCTTTGGTACACCGGATTTTATGGCCCATGACTCCATAGTGAATAGGGGTTTCTCGGTGCGTACCTTAGGTAGTTTCATTGCTTGAACTGAGGCAACGCGCTCGACGTTATTAGCAAGGAACCACAGCATCAATCATTCCATTGTGTCTGGGTGGGTGTATTTTACATTAGAAGAGCTATAACTAACATAAGATATTGGTGTAAGCTAACCTAGGTAACTCCATTCGGGTCAGCCATGATGCTCTAACGAGGTATTTGGAACTTCAGCCCCAATCGAGTCAGAGTGGTTGCTCACTTGGAAGAGACTCGCCTTAACTTACTCTTCATTCTTTTCATTTCCTTTTGTCTTCGTGCCTGTTTCAATACCTGATGGGATGGGGTTGTTCATATTCTACTGGGCCTTCAAGCTCGGCCACAACTGCATCTTTCCAATTATCCGCCCAACACTTGGCATTTCACATAGGTAGCCTTCGAATGACCCTCGAACATGTCAATTATATTACAATTCTGCATATAGCAGAACAACAGCCTGCTGCAGTCATCTTATCGCATCCGCAGGCGATGATAACGCAACTGGGGTAGTAGCGGGGTTTCGCAAGATCAACGACCGAGAACCTATTGGACGGGAACTGTGCTATCATACCCAGACCTGCATGCCAATCAAGGTTATAATCGGGATTCCTCCGTAGCCGAGTTATCTATGTCACGTTGCTGTGCTAGACCTCTGGACGATCCACAATAGGGCCAGAATGCTACTCTGTACACCGGTGAATGCCGATCGTCCACGATGGCGGAGTCGTTCGAAGGCTCCATCATGGGGCAATTGGCTATTAGACAAGAGCTCTCGTGGCAATTCTCTCACGATCGCTCACGTCTTTCTAAGGTGATCAAGTGAGACGAATAATTGTGTAAGAAGGATGTTCCCCCGAAACCTCCTCAGCTTCATGCTTGGTGCCGTCGCCACCGGGACCGCATTGGCAATATCACCAACCGTAGCTTCTACTGCACGGGTAAGTGTCTGACCTAGCAAGAGAAGGGGCTGCTCTATATACTGACCATACACAAGTCTGTACCACTTGATCTATCGCCATATTACAACAACAAGGCGTTCGGCACATACCCAGGCGAGACCTCATTCGACGGACTGGGTCAATGCTACCCAGCCCCAAACCTGACCACGCCCTTCTACACATCAAGCCAGACGGGAATCCTGTACTCATTCCCGGGATACACGGGCCTCAACAAGACAGACAACGTCGTCTGCAGCAGCCAGACCATCACCGTGTCCAATGACTCCTACTTCTCCGCCTCGTTCCTGACATCAGGAGACAAGGAGCTCCATACGATAAGCGAGAATGTGACCTTCACGTATACAGACAACAGCACTTCTCTCTACGAGCTGCGGACTCAGGACTGGTTCAGCTTCCTGACTCTTTACCGCGGCGAGCTGATCTTCCCGAGCCGGTTCACGGCCACGGGTGTGGACTATAACACGAGTCACATCTTTGAGCGGACTGCGGCTCTCATTCCGGGCAAGATACTTCGCTCCATCACCTTACCGAACACGACAGATGCTTCTGAGGGCAGGCTGCATATCTTTTCCTTCTCGCTGTGGAGCGGTTCGTCCGCAGAGGTGCAGTCTGTTCGCCCGACGCAGAAGTGGCTCGAAGCGGGTGTGCAAGCCGTGGAGGTCACGGTGAATAACGCAGGCTCGGAGTGTGTCTCTGGAAGTGGGTTGGTCTTCTCACTCGTCGGGGAGGGTTTCAATACGACAAAGACTGGGAGCCTGAAACGGCTGTGCCCGGGTGATCAGAAGACCGTGGCCATCGGCGTCGAGGGGTCCACGAACGGGTCTGCGAACGTATCTGTGATCATCGATGATGGTGTCAGGCAGCGAACAGCTCCAGTTGAAGGCGTTGAGATTGGATTCATCGAGTGGACGACCGAGCTGGATGACCTGGCAAAGCACGAGACTCCTGACTGGTTCAACGACGCCAAGTACGGCATCTTCATCCATTGGGGTCCCTACGCCGTGGCTGGCTGGGGTAATTCCACCCCGTATGAGAGCTACGCTGAATGGTTCTGGTAAGGAACCCGTCCTCCTCCATATTTGAGCGGGAAGTTGGAACTAGCTGATTCTGACTTTCACACCAGGTGGTACTCGACGCATCACCCCCAAGCCGATCCCTCAGACTTTTACGACTACCGTCTCCGCACCTACGGCGAAGACTGGGCCTACGACGACACGTTCCCCGACTTCACCGCGTCCGCTTTCGACCCCAAGGAGTGGGTTGATCTCTTCGCCGACGCAGGCGCCACGTACTTCGTCATCACGTCCAAACACCACGACGGCTTCGCGCTCTTCGACACGGGCGAGACGAGTAACCGCTCGGCGCTGCACTATGGCCCGCGGCGCGACCTGCTCGGCGAGCTGTTCGACGCCGCGGCGACGTACCAGCCGGACCTGAAGCGGGGGGCCTACTTCTCGCTGCCGGAATGGTACAACCCGGACTTCGGCCCCTACGGCTTCGACCAATTCAACTCGTCGTCCGTGCCGGCTACCAACTCGTGGCCTGGGGTCCTGGCCAAGAACCCGTATACGGGCGTCGAGGAGCCGTATACGGGCCATGTACCTGTGGTCGACTTTTTGGAGAACCTGATGCTGCCGCAGATGGAGACGCTGGCTTATGAATACGACATTGACATTATGTGGTGCGACATTGGTGGGCCGAACAGTACGTATACCCCTTTCTGGCTTCCTCTGCAGACCTGTATCGGTGCTTCTATGCCGATATGCCCTGCGGACAACTCGCATAAAGACACTCAACTGACACCCATCTCCCAAAGTCACCGCCCCCTTCGCAGCCCGCTGGTGGAACGAAACACGCGCCAAAGACCGCCAAGTGGCCATAAACTCACGCTGCGGTCTCGCGCAAGCCGCCGACTTCGACACGCCCGAGTACGCGACCTTCAGCTCGGCGCAGGCGCGCAAGTGGGAGAGCAACCGCGGCATGGACCCTTACAGCTACGGCTACAATTCGGCGACGCGCGCCAAAGAGTACATGAACGCCAGCACGTTGATTTATTCGCTCGTCGATATCGTGTCCAAGAACGGGAATTTCTTGTTGGATATCGGCCCCCGTGCCGACGGCAGTATCGTCCAGGCCGAGGCGGATAATCTGCGCGACGCGGGACTCTGGATCAAGGATCATGGAGAGGCTATTTTCGGGACGAATTATTGGTTTGTGCAGAGTGAGATCGTGGGCGGGCCGGATGTCAGATTCACGCAGACCGATGGGGCGTTCTATGCGCTGTTTCTGGAACGGCCGGTGGTGGAGGATGGGGTGGTGAGCATTGCGGCGCCGGTGCCGATTCTGGACGGGGACGAGGTGAGCTTGGTGGCGATCGAGGGTGGTGAGGACTTGAGCTGGAGTGTCAGTGGTAAGGGAACCGAGATGATGCTGCAAGTTGAGGTTCACGAGGGGGTCCTGGACAAGGCTGAGTTCTGCTGGGTGTTCAAGATCAAATATGCGTGACAGCCAAAAAAGCTTCACAGCACCGTGCGGAAGTCGCAGAGTTGTGCCGGTATCGCAAGAGGATCGACCGTTTCGGTCTGATTCCAAGTAAGCAAATCTATGTTGGCAACCTAGGATATGCTCGAACCGTTGGTAGTCTCCATTGTCACATGGTAGCCCCCCTCACAATCCCATCTTCATCCCTTGTTAATCCCCTAGGGACTTCAGGTGGACTTTGACCATTCCTGTACAGCCAGAGACGGCTGAGGTCCTTGACTCTCACCTTGCCGTCGTCGATATCTTCCTTGTTGCCATGGAAGCTCCCATGGACCGCCACCTCGGTCTTGACCCCACTTCCCTGCCGTCCACCACGCTCGATCATGGACCAGCTATTCTCGAAGCCTTCGCGGATAACGTCCTTCTCAGTGCCCTTCCCGGCGACCTCGACCACACTTTCCATGAAGTCGTTGCTGTCGACACATCCCACAAACTCACCGTCAGCATCTCGAGCGAGAGGGAACATTCCGTCGAGGTAGTGCTGGCAGAGCTGGTGCCCACCGCGGGGTGATGTGCGACTGAAGACACGGCCGATGAACCGGGGCATCTCGGGTGAAGCTCGCTCATTGCTCACGAAGTGTAGCACACCCCAGAGTGCGACGAAATCGGTCGTGTGAGCGTAGTGCTCGACGTGGCCAATGGCCCGATCCGAGGCCGGGACTGTGAATGCCGTCTCGGGCGATGTCACTTGACCGCTGGACATTGATGTCAGCGTTTGGGGTTCCCCGTTCGTCTTGAACGACGAGCTATTCCCGTTTGACGGCTGTCGTTTCAGCATCGGAGTCTTCATTTCGACTGGAGAGTCAGTGATTGGTACGCTGGTTATGGTCGCAGGTATTTTGATTCGCGTGTCGGGGTGCTGTTCTTCAGCTTCCTGTGATCCAGCATGGCGATGCGGGTTATTGAAGTGGTTGGCCGCGCTGCCGAAAGTGTAGACTTCGAGCTTGGCGAGCAAGTCTTGTGGAAGTTCTTGCAGAAGCCAGTCCAGGACCATACCGCCCTCTATTCCTCCCTGTGAATGCAAGATAAAGACCACTTTGCTATACTGTGGATTGTACAGCTTTCCCTTGATGATCTTGTACGCCTGGCGGATATCGCTCGTGGCATATCCAAAATTGCGCTGTATGAGGCACTCGACCACGTCAAAAATGATGCCGGTCGTCCGGTTATGGACGCCAATGACAGGTCGCTTGAAGGTCAGAGCCAAGCGGTTGATGTTATTTTTCAACCACGCTTCGCTATACCCGGTCAGTTGGAATGTAGCTCTCGTCTCGTAGGAATTCGCACGTACCCAACAGCAACGCCGTTCAAGAATATCCATTGCTCGTGCTGGTGCTCATCCAATGCCGGTGCATATTTGGGATCCGAAGTATACGTAATGGTACTTCCGTTCAAGCACCGACACAGCAGCGAGTTGACTGAAAAAAAGACGATCAAGCCGGCGATGAACAGCCAAACGGGCAATATGAAGGCCACCGGAAGCAGGACTATGAAAGCCAACTGGAACACCGCAAGGACCAGGTGGATCAGCACACACCACAAGTTCTCGGGTGTGAATGATAGTTCGTCAAAGTGGCCGCCGTCGCATGGCCTGACGGGCCAAACAACCCACGGCAAAGCCCAGGCGAAGGTGAAGAAATATGTCACATCCCACAGAAGGAGTCTCAAGGGCATGTCGGTATAGCTGTAGTTGATGACAGACTTGCCACCGACCTGGGAGCCGAAGAACTGGGTGTGGTCCGCGGCGGGCGACTGGCGTGACCGTTGACGGCCCATATTGGAACGGTTGGCTGTATGCGCCATGGATAGGGAGCCTGCGATGACCACGACAGCTCCAGTTGCAATGTAAACGTATAAGATCATTTAGACACGACTTGAATAGAGACGATGGACTGAGGCTACGCGCTCGCTTTTGCAAGATATCTGCCCTTGCCACCCTTCGGTTGATCAGCCGCTCTACCATGCTGCCTGCCTGCCTACCTAGTCCTACCTGTCCAGCTGGCTACCAGTCGGCTGGTCGCGAGAGGAAGGTACCGCACACCAAGAAAGGGGCTGCAGGAAGCAGAAACGGAAATAGAAAGGGTTGCATCGACGGCTATGCGGCACTGGCATCTGCAGGCTGAGCGGGGCCAAACAAACTTGGCGCTCTTGGTCGCACTTGTGACCAGGCCTGCTTGTGACCAAACAGGCGGTGATCTTGAACCCTGCCCTGCCTGCCGAATCTGCGGTCAGCTGAGGTAGTTTCATCAATCGCCAGACTGCGGACCAAAACACCTGTCAGGTGAACAGATGAACAGCTTGCGCCGAATTCCTGGATGCCAATATCTTCAAGCGAAGAACGCGCTCGATTGGTGGGTGGACTTACTACCTTTTCATCCAGAACTGTTCGTAAAGACTGAGGGCCTTGAGTTGTAGTCGGCCTGGATAAAGCCCGCGATGGAGATCTCATTCCGGTCAGTTGTGCCTGATTTACAGACTGCTTATGTCAGCTTCAGCGGGGAATCACCGGGAATAGAGAAGGGTATTTATGCAATCGGCTATGCACTGCATAATTTCTACTGTTTGCCTTTACGTCACGAGCCCCGAGTTCCAACTCCCAGCTAACGATAGCTTCATGGACCTCCAGCATCTCCCAAAGAAACCAATACCACATGCGAGCCAGCCTGAAGTAAGCCAACATCAACATCATGGAGGAACCACCGATCATCACTCCTGGCACGTCGATATCGAGTCCGAAAGTTATCTTCCTGATGGCTGACTACGGGCACGATCCCACAGGTTCGCGACCACCCACCACCCACCACCTGCATCTCGGCAGTACAGACGTGTATTGGTGTCTAACTGCCTACCATATAGAGACCGCTGTTCCTTATACCGCATTCAAGAAAGCAAACTACCAAATCCACTTCGCGACCGAGAACGGCAAGGCACCGCGTTGCGACAAGAAGATGCTGGAGGGCGTGACCCAGAAACTGCTGGTATACACGACCCTACACCTTGGCTGTGCCACAAGCAAATCTGACATGCTGGCAGGGCGCAACCAAGGATGTCGTCGCCATGTACAAGAAGATGCAACGAAGTGACGGGTGGCTACACCCCTTATCCTGGACCTCGCCCGACTTCTCCCTCGATCCCTACGACCTCGTCGTCCTGCCCGGCGGCCATGACAAGGGAGTTCGGCAGATAATCGACTCAGAGACCGTACACCAGCTTATGGTTGATTACTTCCCCAAGACGAAGAAGCCGGGCGTGAAGAGTGTTGCTGCTGTGTGTCACGGCGTCATGGTCTTGGCCGAGTCGAAAGATGCGACTGGTCGCAGTGTCCTACGCGACTGCGTGACCACCGCCTTGCCTGCCAAATTCGAACAGCTTGCGTACTGGGGCACACGGGCATTCCTGGGCGACTATTACAAGACCTATGGCCATGGCAGCGAGAATGTCGAAGAATCGGTAAGCCAATACTCGGTTCAGTGGGGTGCACGTGAAGTGCCATTGGTCTGATATGTGACACCTTTAGGTCACAAAGGTGCTGGGAAACCCAGCCCAGTGGAAGACGAGCATGAATCTCGGCGCGTAAGTTCTGTTTCCTCTCTGTGTACACGTTGTCCGCATTGCGAGACAACATGTCTCTGACTTACCAACCCCTTGTAGGTTTGTCGTCGAAGACGAGCAGCACAACTACATCAGTGCTCGGTATCCAGGTGATGTCGAGATGTTGGCCGAGGAGTCCATCAAGCTGTTGGAGAGTTTCAACAGGATTGTTTAGGGTCGGCAAGCCGGGATAGCGTCCTCATTTGCGAGGCACGGCTCCTTGTATCGGCTTGATACGTAGGTCTCATGATGTCACGAAAGTCCCGATTTTTTCTAGCTAGATACCAATTCTTGATTTACTGATACTTCAGAACGCTCTTGACGGCTTCGTCAACCCCATTCGCAATAACATTAGGGGCGCGCTTCTCGTCCAAGCGATCGATCCAACCCTTGCGGGGCCTGTCAATGAAGGCAGCCCTCAGCCCTGCAGCCTTAGCACCGACAATGTCGAAAGGGTTGCCACTCATAACCCACACCTCGCCTTCACGTCCTTGCATGCCAGTCTGCTGGACCAGATGGGCATACGTCCTCTTGTCTGGCTTGAAACACTGCAGACTGTGGACCGTGACCAACGACTTGAACCGCTTTGCGTGAGGCCCAAGATCTGGCGAAGTTTGGACCGAGTTGCCAACCATCTCATCGGTGCCGTTTGAGAAGATGTAGGGCTCTACCGAGTCACTGTTCTCCTCCAGTAGCTTCAGGGCCGATGGGATCTCTGGGAAGACGTGCAGTGCGTCGTAAGACTTCATCAGGGCATCCGCGTCCTTCGCCTCAAGCTTCAACCCATGCTCTGCTACCGCATGCCCAAGGGCGTTCCGTGTAATCTCGCTGAATGTCTTGTATTCACCTGGAGAAGTTCGATCAGATCCTCAGCAACTCATGGTAGACTGCACAGCCGATGAGAGCGTCGTGGGTATGGACAGACATACCCATGCTGTTGATTCGCCACGTGTACTCCAGCTGGTACTGTCGCCACAGAGCAGCGAGCGACTTTGACTTGTCGTCTCCATAGACCTTGGCAAGCTCATCGGCTATGGATTCCGTGGACAGGAGTGTCCCGTAAAGGTCGAAGGCGATGACGATCTTCTTGGACGGCATCGTGAATGGCTCTCTGATTCTGCTAGCTTTAAGGCTCGTTCCGGCAAGTGAGTCAATCGGGGGTGGGAGTTGCTGCAGTACTTTGAACTCGACAATCGCTGCAAGTCTGGAGGTGATTAAAGACTGACTCTCCGTTCCACATATCGTCATTATTGTCTTGATGATATTGCGGGGTAGCTTTTTACTACATTGGGACAGCTTTACTGAACACGATTAGAGTATTCCCATCGAAAACTAAGGACGTCCTTTACGTCACTTATAGACGGGAGCCATCCGAGCAGTCGCCGACGCAGACGAACGGCCAAGTCTCATAAGGTTTCTTACCATGGCGATGCCGGAAGACCAGCACAAGAATCTCGAGTTATTCCAGGACTGCCTATCTACAGCCCTGATTGAGAAGATCTCACAACCGCAGTCCAAACCGAAGAAGAGGACGAAGTCTACTAAGAAAAGACCCGTCTCCGTCTCATCCCCATCTAAATCTAAAGCCACCACAACTCGGCACGATGACGACAACAATGAGACCACAGCAGCAGCAACACCATCCCCATCCGCCACCACGACCCTAGACGACGAAACCACAGCAGAAGACCTGGCGGACTTCACAGACTACATCGCCACCTCGACCTTCCAGTCCCTGCCCCCGGAGCTCAAAACTCTCGACTACTGGACCTACAGCAAATCGCCCGCCCTGCAATCCCGCTACGCCCTCCCCCTAACCGGCGCCGACGTGCCCGGTCTCCTCCCCACGCTCGACCCCTCGGTCGCCGACTCTTTGGCGGCGTACGGCATCACGCGCGAGCCCGCGCAGGGCGTGGACGAGTTCCTGGCGCCTGTCCTCACTGCGTTCCTGACGGCGCTGTTCACGGCGCCGCCGCCGCCCAGTTCGACACGCGACGTTGCGCTGGAGAGCGGCTGTGAGATCTGCGGGAGGGACTGGATTGGACTTAATTATCACCATCTGATTCCGCGGTTCGTGCATGCGAAGGCTTTGAAGCGGGGGTGGCATCGTGAGGAGGATTTGCAGAATGTGGCTTGGTGTGAGTACCTACTCATCTATTTGCCTTTTGTCGATCGCGTCGCCCCTTTTGGGTTGCCTTGTGAAAAAAATTGTGAAGGAAGAGGCTCTCGGCTCTGGTCTCCGTTCTCTCCAGGCTCCCGACTGTGTGATATAGTGAGTTATGCGCTGATTTCCGAGTTCGCAGTATGTGGAGCCTGTCATAAGTTCGTGCATCGGTTTGCGGACCACGAGGAGCTTGCGCGGAAGTACTACACCGTCGAGCTTCTGATGCAGGAGGAGGAGGTGCAGCGGTGGGCGGGCTGGGTTGGGAGGTTGAGGTGGAAGGGTCGGTAGTGCTTTGGGGGTTTGTGGATGAGTATGTTGATACCTACCAACACATATCTTGGTCCCGACTCTCCCATGCCGGTAGCCATATGGACTTCTGTCACGAACGAGGACTCGACATTATCATAGCAGAGATGAACCCTCGAGGCTCGGATGGGTGACATGCACAGCCATCTCCCCTTCGCCCGGTCGCTTGGTTTGGAGCTGGCATGTGGCTATCCCTCACTATTCGCCCTGAGAAGCCACAGTCGACCCCGGTGAATAGGTCCAGCCCGCGCTCACGCTCGAAGGCGGTATAACGAGTCTTTGTACTGATCGGAACGCAGGCAATGAGTGATTGCGACGTGTCGACTAATATATTATCTATTAGGTTATTATCCAACGGGTTTGTACTATATAAGGTGTATCGGTCGACGGCTGCGGTGTTTCCATCTGTCAACAATGCGTTTCGTATCATTCCGTCCAATTAGGAACATCATGATGCATACCACGGTCGAAAATGCGTCGTCATTCCTCATAACTGCTTGACGGGGTTGGAAAGGACCAGTGCGGGGATGTCCAAGCACGAGTCCTATATGCCCGAGTCGTCCTGAACGACCTCCTTGGCCTCCACGTACTTCTTCCAGTTCGCACACGTCGAGTCGAGGCTGTCAGCATCACACATGGGCGGGATCTCCGACGCTCGCTCCACTATCTGCAGCGCAAAGCCCTGTGATGCGTGCCATCCGATCTGTCGCGACGTCAGTCTTGGGAGTGCCCGGATATACGAAGTGAAAGGCGGTACTTACGTGGCAGTGCATGAGCCAGACGCCAGGGTTATCCGTGATGAAACCGAGAACCAAATATCCATTCGCAGGCAGCATAGCCACATCCCGGCGCGGCGGGTTCTTCAGCTGCAGCGCCGTGTCGCTGGTGTAGTTGGCGTTTGCCTTCTGGGCGAGCACGAAGAAATCGTGTCCATGAAGATGAATGGGATGTGTTAGACCGAGGGCACTGGCGCCGTTTTCAATGACGAAGTACACCCAGGCATTCTTCTCGTTGAGCTGGATGACGTTCTGCGCCTGCTCGAAGACGGACACGTCGGCCAGGCTCTGCTGCAGTGTCGGCACGCCCCAGTCCGACAGGAAGTCCTGGCCGTCGAGCGTCCACTTGAACATGCCGTGCGAGTTGACGGCGTAGCCGAGGCTGAAACTCTCGGTTGCGGCCGGGGCCTGGGCGTCGATGGCTACGTACGGGACTAGGCTTGACATCGGTTCGTCGTGGCAGTCCTCGGTGTACTGATATGCGGAGGATGCTGGGTCCGTATGCGAGGCAGCATCATAGCGCACGATACCCTTGATGTCGTTCACCATCTCGTTCTCGGCACTGCACGCCATGTCGGGGTAGGCGCGCAGCCAGAAGTCACCCTCGCCCTGGTCAGCCTCGACAATGACATCGTACCGCTGGCCGATACCGATGCTGAGGACGTCGGTGGTGTAGGGCTTGATGGGTACCAAATCGGCGGCGATAACCGTCATCTTGTGGTTGTCGATCATAAACTTGAAGAACGTGTCGATGGCCGTGTTGACAAGGCGGATGCGGTGACGCTTGCCGGCTGTGAACTTGGTCTCGAACCTCTTTCCGCCGTCGCCATAGACGTTGGTCCCGTTGATGAGACCGTTCTGTGCCCGGGGCGGCAGACCGGTCGACGCAGAGCCCCACAATGCATCCGTGGTGTTGTGGAACCAGTCACCCAGCATCAGGATTCCCATATCTTCGTCGTACGGCGCTGAGGCTGGGCCGTGGATGACGATTCCTCCGAACACACCGTTCCAAGCCTGTAGCGCGAAGTGCGAGTGGTACCAGCTGTGTCCGTACTGCTCGGCCCGGAAGCGGTACGTGATGCTGTCTCCCGGCGCGACGGGGCATTGGGTGATGGATGCTACTCCATCGTGCTGGTTGGTGGAGTTCTGTCGCAGGCCATGCCAGTGCAGGCTGGTCCCATTGTCGGCGAGAGCATTGTGAACATGAATCACCAGGTGGTCTCCCCAGTTGGCGAAGATGGTCGGTGCGGGTACTGATCCGTTCACGATCAAGACCACGCGCTCGACACCATCGATAGCAGCGGTGCCATTCTGGATCTCGAGCCAGTACTCCCTCGTTACACCTGTGTCCGGGATACTATCATACCAGTTCGTTTCTAAAGAATGGTGTCTGTCCCAGCACTGGGGACTCTCTGCTGAGTCAAAGTTACATACACTGTGACAGTATCTCTTGTGGTGATGGGAAGAAGCAGAAACAAGAGATGAAAAAAGGAGAGTAGTTAGAGCGGCGAGGAACATAGTCGACCGCATGATTAAGTATTAGATTAATAAAATAATGAGTGTGGTTCAGGACATGTAGGCCTAGAACAGAGTAACGAGTGACATGGACACTTGAGCGACGTCCTGGCTGTTGCAGATGGTTGAGCAGATCATTACCATGCTGTGCGTGGAGAGGAAACGGAAGTAAAGAATTGGGCAAGGTCACGATGATAAACGAAGGGGATGGGCTCGGTTGCGCACCACTTCCCAACGCACGCGCATTCCAACCTGATGCAACATCGCAACAGGCCACGACGGGAGCTCTAAGCGGCAGTGACTGCGGGTTACCTACCGTACCTGGGCCGGTCGTCAATAGAGAGCCCGACGGAATGGACAGGCGCAGGGTCTTTTAGGTAGCGGAGTCCACGATGGCGCGACCTGGTAACCGAACTGGTGGCATGGACCGTGACGATGGCACGATGCCGGGGTTAGCGACCAGGTCTAGACCAGCGGCCGATACTACGTCGAGGACCCTGCCCGAAGCCATCACGGCGGCGGTGGTCGAGCGAATGGGTAAGGTGCCAAGCCACCGCGGACTGCACTGACTGCACTGCTACGGTGATGGTAGTAGTAGTCATTTGTTTCAGGTGAAGGAGCGAGCTGCAGGCGCTCGTTTGTATAGCAGGTGGGAAACGGTGACACAGTCTGTAGGTAGCAACTGAAATAAGCTCGTGGAGAGAAACATTCGAGTCTTCGACAAGATGATGCGATAGCGAGAAGCGCACGGGCCGCGCGTGTAGATGTTCTAAAAAAGGGGGTGGCCCGGGTGGGTGCCGGCTAGGGCCACAGCCAATCAGATAACACGCACTCTTCACCTCGCTTAGTAGTTTCCGGCGGGGGCCAATCAGTCCAGCAGGCGCCTCTTCGAGGCGAACTATCGGCTTCCAATTTCTCTCGCGAATAGTTGACGTAGGCGCCAGTTTCGATAAATCTTCATGGTTGATATCTTTGCGCGCAGGAAACTTCTGGTAATTGCAAAGCGGGAGCGCAGCCACTCAACTTCTTTGATGTGGTCGCTCAGTGGCTAATGAACATGAAGAAGAGGCATGGTGACTCTGCGGCTGATTGCGATTTTGGTTTTAGCTGAAAGATAAAGGGGTACCACTCTCATCTTTGGCCCTCCTAGCTCCAACACTATGTACTGCCATTCTCAAGCAGAGTGTTAGTGGCCCACTTTAAATCGCTATATACACCATATAATCCTGGCGGTAACGATAGAAGAACGTTTTCGACGACCACGCTTTTAAAAAAAATATAAACTTATATTTATTTAAAAATTATTATATATTTATATACGACCGTTAATTTAAAAGCGTATTAATATTCTTATTATTGCGGTTATTAAGTTAGTATTTTAACTATTATATATAAGGTAATAAACCTCGGCATCTTTTAATAACTACGATAAAAGTACCTTTTATAACTATTACGTTTTTCAACCGACGTTGCATGTATAATTATATATGTTTTGTAATAGCCCTGAGTTGCTAATATCTAAGAGCATACGGAATGGTATATGCGACGGTGGTTAGGGAGCGTTGTCGTCGAAAAACGTACTTTCTGGTTGTTTGGAACCAGCTCAGAATTGTGTGGTGTGCATAGCGATTTAAGGTGGGCTGCTGACACTCTGCTCGAGAATGGCAGTAGCCTGACTTTCCTCTTTCATTCCCCATCTCATCTAAAATGGTCCGCAAGGACATCTGCGAAAGGTGCCAGCAAATCCCAGCCAAAATCTACCAGCCCGTCGACGAAGCCACCTGGTCGCGCGTGGCCAAGCACTCGGGGAGCTACTCCCAGCTGGTCCAATCAGCGACAACATGTCCGCTCTGCAAGGTGTGTCTCAAATATATCGACGACTGGTTTGACAGCACATATTATGCCTCGAAAGCGAGCTTACTCAAAGAAGACCCCGTCATCGTGCTCAAGAATATGTATGATGGCGGCCAGGGTCCTCAACGGCAAGTCTGGCTTGGGATCACGGAAAAGAAGTGGGAGTAGATTGAAGAGAACGAATACGTGACGCCTACATCGGAGGCTCTTAACTTGTGCTACCCTGGTGTGTCATCAAGACGTCCGTTGATAGCCTCCGAAGCTCATACACGAAGTACCATCCGACCCCCCGGACCGGCACACCCCCCCAACCGGCACAGCCAAACCCCACAACCACCACCAACAGTCCCCTTACTCACTTATACGGATTACAGCCCCTTTTGAGGGTAACTAGACGTTCTTTTGATGATTAGATAGCCCTTTTCTTGGTATTTAGCGGAATATATATTATTTAATTGTTAGGCCATTGGCATTGGCATTTAGCAGTCTCTGTGCCGCGCCCTTAAATGCAAATTTGCTATAGAATTCTCTCTGTGAGCCCCTGTCCCTCATGCACCACAGCATTCTGAAGCCAGCCACAATGCCTCTGCCCACGTATACAGAGGATAATGTGGTGAATGCTTACCTAGACGTCACAGATAATGGCATGTCCATAAGAAAATCCAGCCAAAAATATGGCGTCCTGGCCAGCACGCTGTCAGTACGCATAAGGGGGAGAAGGACTAAAACGGAGGCTCACACCACCGAGTAGAGAATTTCTCCTGAGCAAGAAAGCAAGGTAACAGCCTGGATATTACGCCAGGAGACTTTGGGGCTTGCCCCCTCTCACTCAGCCGTCAGGGAAATTGTGGTAGAGCTCCTAAAAAGAAAGGGGGACTTCGCACCACTTGGGAACCACTATATGGACAGCTTTAAACGACGCAACCCTACCATCCAGACCAAAATCGGCAAGTGAATGGAATCTGCTTGGTTTAAGGGGTTTACCCCTAAGTCTGTGAACTGGTTCTTCAACATCTTGGAGGACTACGGCTGGGTGAAGCCAGAAAATACATATAATATCAATAAGGGCAGCATCATGTCGGGTTTTGATAACTCTTTTGAGCCCCTTATTTTTATAATTAATTAATTACCCTTATAGGCATTGATTCCTTAATTCTGGGAAGTTCTGAGACGAGGAAAGCTTTCCTAAAGAGCCCCAAGGGCCGCTCGTGGACATCTTTCATCGAGACCATTTCAGCTACCGGTAAAATACTCAAAACAGGCCTGATTTTTAAGGGAAAAGATCTCTAAGCGCAGTGGTTCCTCGAGGAATTCCAGAAGATAGCCGACTGGTATTATATAACGTCAGAAAACGGCTGGACTAGTATTGATTGATTGATTGTATTTATCGTGGGTGCAGTCCCTCCATAGGGCAAACCACGCCTCCCAGGCCATTGCATCGCAAGGTTGTAGGGGTGTCAGTCTAGATACATTCAGATCCGCACACGAGCCTATCCTCGCTGTAGCGGTACCAACCTGGAGTGACCAGATGGTTTTAGTCAATACCCAAGCATGATTCCGTCAGAAAAACCTCCTGTCCAGTGACTAAGCGACCCAGTGAACCTCAGTCCTCTGGTAAACACATTGTTCCAGTAGCCGTTCGATATATGTCGTATTGGTGGGTGAAGTAGGTATTTGTTATCTGCTGGCAAGGAAAACCACAAGGGGAAAAACCTCGTAGGAGTGGGTATTATGGAGACAAGCTGCTTGGCTATCGGGCTCTGCAATAAGGGGCCTCTCCACTGTTGTGTGCTGGTTGTCGACTCGCACAAGCCGGGTCAGAAGGGGGCCATAGCAGGATTCGAACCCACTTGTTCTCGTCGCCCACCGCACAAACGAGAACACAACCAGGCGCATTTGACCATTGCGCCATACGGCCGGCTGGACCAGTAACGATATCGCCTGCCAGTGGCTTGAGCACGTTTTCATACCACAAGTGGATGATTTTCATGGCCAGGAACAGTGGGAACCAGTCTTTTTGATCCTATATGGCCATGGTAGCCATACCTCCGTACGTACACCAATTTTTTCTATTTTATTTACTGGTTATTTGATTTATGCCGATTTAAATAGCAACTGACTGTAGAAAAGGACGAATTTATAATACAGTGTTATTTTGCTAATATCTTACTGTGCTTTTTCCCAGCAGACATTAGTCACGGAATGCAATCACTGGATAACGGCCCCTATAACGCCCTTAAGTCTTATTACCAGAGATTCCTCACCCAGTTAAATTCTTTGACTGATTCCTCCCCTGTTGACAAGATCAACTTTATCCGCTATTATAACAAGGCAAAGAACATAATATTTACGCCAAAAAAAAATATCTGTTCGGGCTTCTGAGTAACAAGATGCTACCTAATTAGCCACAAAAAGTGTCTAGACTATCCAGAAATCCAAGAAAACAAGTGGAAGACCCCTGAGCCAGAAGAACAGGAGGACTCGGAGCCAGAGGACCAACAGACCCCTACCACGAGCCGGCAAATCCGGGATTTCGGAAAGAACCGTTCTCCAGCCACTCGGCTGAAGTTCCGGAAGATCTCACATGCCTTTGAGAACCAGGAGACGGAGCTGGCTATAAAAAACCAGAAGATCAGGGCCCTGGAGGCTGATCTAGAACAGCTACCTCCCAAGAAAAGAAAAAAGATACCAAATCCCAACAAAAAGTTCATGACAATGATAGAAATATTAACCCAGGGTAGTGATCTGTTAGTTCTGGTTATTATAGAGTCTTCTTTTTCTTCTTTAGAGTCAGAGGTTATTAAAGACAAGGGTGAGGAGGACGAGGAGGTTACGGACGCTGAGAAGTCTGTAGAAGCCCCTGTTACAGAAGCCCAGATGACTAGATCCGGGCGGTCAATCCGGGCGCCGGCTAGATACGTCGATTGAGCAGCCAAAACACCACAGAATGATAATTTTGCTGATTTTTTTGACCCTATACAGCCTCAAATGCGTGTAAGTGAGTAGGGGGGTCTTTTGGCGGTGGTGGCGGGGTTTGGCTGTGCCGGTAGTGGGGGTATGCCGGTTCAGGGGGTCGGATGGTAGGTGACGAGAACAAACCGCCGTTCCTATTCCATGACTGGGGGTCGGCTGAGTCGCTCGAGCTGTGCAAACAGTGGATTGCTTGTTGTCTCGATAGTCGTGATGCTTGCCCAAAACCGGATCCAACGTTCCTCCCGTCCAGGCTGATTGAAGTTGGCCAAGGCGAGAATATAAAACTCGCACTCACTTCAGGTAAGCTAAGATACCTGCGTATACGCCAGTGTCATGCTGAGACCTCACGCCGCCAATGCTTATTTCGTCCCTATCTAGCCTTCTCCGACATTGAGAAGAAGACAACTTACGTCGCCTTGAGTTACTGCTGGGGGACCAATCCCAACCCATCCGGGCGCACGACAGATGCGAACATCAATGAACAGCTCGAATGTATCAAAGTTGGATCCCTTCCCAAGACCATCAGAGATGCTGTACTCGTAGCACGCGGCTTGGAGGCCCCGTATCTCTGGGTCGACGCGCTATGTATCATCCAGGGTAATGCTCGAGACTGGCAGCTGGAATCCGCTGAGATGGCAGATATCTACTCAAACTCGTACTGCACGATTGCAGCAACTACCGCAGAGAACAGTGATCAGGGCTGCCTAGGAAGCCATCCGCTTTCAGAGCAGCCATGTCAGCTCTCCTGGGAGGCTACGGACCTCCAGGAAAAATCCTCTATCATCATATATCCGGAGATAATAACTCCCAATAGGGTCGAGATGGTCCCGGCTGGAAGCGTACTTACCACGCGAGGATGGACGCTTCAAGAGATGATACTGTCACCCCGCGTCCTTCATCATACCGACATCGGTATCCTCTGGGCCTGCAAGACGATGCATGCATCTGAACAAGAAACAGGACTGGTCCCAGCCGCCCCTGATCCATTCGCAGAGGTAATCCATATGTTGGACGAGCACCAAGTCTTTGCACAGCCATACAAGGACTGGAGGAAGCACATCGGAGACTTCACGCGTCGCAACCTCACCGTCGTGACAGATCGACTACCAGCTCTAGCAGGTCTCGCAAAGCGACTGAAGGAGAAAACCGGCGCCACGTATCTAGCGGGAATGTGAAAAGAGTCACTGATAGATGACCTGACATGGTGTCGCTATGCCGCAGAAGCACCTCTCACATCGTGCCCAACGTATGTCGCGCCTTCATGGTCATGGGCATCCAAACTCGGAGTATTGGACCCATGCCAGTTTGAGATAGGAGTACTCGTCCCCGCCAGCGGCGATACTCTCATCGACACCGCCACCGCGGCCAAAATCTCGGAGAAGAAGCAGGCGGCCACGGAGAAGCCACAGAACGGCGGGTGGGAGGTCCTGCAGAAGAATTTTGAGAAGACCAGGAAAGTCTTCAGGCTTCTCAAAGCCGAGGTCACGGTGAAGGGAGAGAACCCGCTGGGCGAGGTGAGCGACGGCTTTCTTCAAATCGAAGGCAAGGTTGGCTTAATCCAGACCAGATGCGAAAGCGAGCTGTCGGGTGAAGACTTGCGCGAGCTTGGCCAGGGCTTCGATATTGGCGGGCTTCGAGTGGGACTGTGGGCAGTCGACGAGCAAGCAAGCACTGCCAAACCGGTTGGGGCGTGGTCGCCAGACTGCGAGATGGCGGGGGACTCTTGGGGCTTGATGCATTTTCTTCAGGTCACGCAGCTCGGGGTAGGCTTGGTTTTGAGGCTGGTTGGACCTGGTGAGACCTTTGAGCGTATTGGGTTGGGTCGCTTGACTGAACAGGCTCTCTGCAGGCTTGAGACGAGGGTCGTTACGATCGTTTAAATCCTAAATAAGGGTATAGTCTATTCGATACTAATTACCAAGTGTATTTACATGGGGTGGTCTTCATCGTCCAGAGATGTCTCCGAGATCCGAATACCTCCTCCAGCGAACGAAAGTAACGGAGCTTGTTAGATCTCGTCGCTTGATGAAGGAAGCTCTGGTCAAGGTGTCCACGCTGGACCACGCAGGCAGAAATTCCGGGTTCTGGAGGCACGTGTCAGGTCAGACACATAAGATCAACATGTTCGCATGCGCTGTGAAATGGTGCAGTCCTCTGGCTGTTACTTCCAAACATTTTACTTACAGAGCCTCATCTGTGAGTCATAGCCGCACAGTCAATGGATTTTCTCACACGTAAGGCTTTCCTACGAGTCCCTCGGAGAGTACCAATCACGTCGATGCTGCTTCGGGGCCCTCCGGTGGCACCCCTGAACAGCCAAAGGCGAAGCCAGTGAGGGGCAAACGGCTCAGCTGAGCCAGTGAAGAGCACGAAACGCGACTCGCCGGCAGGCAGACGGTCGCATGAGCTCCCGTGGAGGCCCATCATGCAGATTTGATGAACCAAAAGATGACGGCACATTAGCGCTATTAGGACCCGAACCTTACACCACTTATATGAACAACCTTCAACTGGGTCTTTGCACTGGTCGACACCAACTCATGCTACGCCCACTTATGCGGCGGAATCCCCAATAGCTGAAGCTCATTCAGGACCTGGGTTCTCTCTTCGCGCTCGGCAAGCCCGAGTTTGACGAGAATACACCATGAACACGACGAAGAGTTGGTTTCAAAAGGCACGAGCGCAAACCTTGAAGTCTGGTAAAAATGACAACAACAGGAACCCGACTGCTAGCATGAGTAGTGAGGGCAACAGTCCAAGTATCACAAACGCCTCAGCCAGCAGCTACCAGACCCTCCCACCGACGTTCGAGAAGACGCCCACTCAATATCTGTACAAGGCCGCGAGCGTCAGAGGCCTGCCATCTATGATGCCTGACGTCGTCAACGTCTACAACCTGGATTGGCATGAACTGAAGCCATTTCTGGAGAAGAGATATCCTGGCGTGCCTTTCAAGGATGTAAGTGTCCACCGTCAAAGAGCATCGAGCGATGTCTACACTCGCCACGCCAGGTGCTGACATGTGAGCTTTTCAGCAAGAGGGGGTGGAGGATCATTACCTGATATACGTCCCGTCGCTATTGACCCAGGTAAGACACTTGACAATATCGACTCACAGAACGTTTCGCGAGTGACTAAAGCGTATTCAGGCTGATCGAGACGAGATCCAAGATATCCGAAAAGCTTACAGAGATAGAGCCAGATCGAAGGCGAAGAACCCGGGTGGAAGCGGTCGAAATCGACAGGAGCACAGCCCGGACGGGCCCAGGCGGTCATTGGAGGCTGATGATGACTGACAAGGCCTCTGTTCGGGAGAGTCGCATGGCCGGGCGGCGTGGCGATAGACCAGTGTCACAAGGCAGTGTACATGGATGGTGTCTCAGCTGTACACGATATACTTTTCGGTGTGGTAGTGGCTGAGCCTAGCTGCATGCGACCCCCTGGCCTGCTGCGGGGGGGGGGGGGGGGGCCGGTGCGAGACTCGACACCACGGCAGACCTGTAGGCTGCCTGCATAATCAATCAGGCTGTACGCGATGGGGTTCGGGCTTTCTGAGAATATCGCCATGTCTTTCTCTATATACGAACTCTTCAGCTAAATAAGTCGCTGTAAACGTCACTCTCATCATAGGAATATAGCTGCTTGAGTAGTTCCACATTTCACTCTTTCACGACTACTCCCTGGCTGCTCAACAGGAACATCCACAATGCCAATTGATCTCCCAACTGAGTTTACCGAGTCCTATCTTATATACCAGAAGTATCCACGCTACATCGCCGCAAGCTCGACCTACGGCCCAGCATTATGGGGGTTCCGGGAACGCTTGAATCGCAAGAAGGCCAAGCTCTTCATCCAAGATGCTGGTGATATCGTGGTCCCCGTGCGGGAGATACAGAAGAGAAACGGTGCCTTTACTGTTTCGAAATGCAATATTCTGAGCGAAGAGAAACTCAAGGAGTGGCTCGGCGACACTTACGAACGGGACCCTAATAACCCAGCTAAATTCGTTGGTGCTTTGGCAACGAAGGCGGATCCCAACTGCCGCTTCATGTGGGTCTCCGGCATCTGATATTCTATAGTATTCCCTTCAAGCACGTGGTTGGGACTAACGCCTGAGTCAATGGTAGATTCTTGATCACAGATAGCGCATTGGCTCCCCTGGAGCTGACGCGGGACTGTCTTCTTCGTATCCTGACATACCATCAGGTGATGCCCAACTACATCGACTTCTTGCTGGTCTACGGAGCCCAGGAAGAGGATCGTGAACTACGGTTCAGCGGCTTCCGTACGCGAACGACGTTCGTAAATCCCGAGCCCGGCCACATCATCCCAGACCTGGGTAGATCGGGCAGGCAGCACGAAATGTGCTACAACCTCAAGGCCGTGGCGCCTAGAGAGGCTGGCAAGACTCAGTTGATCCAGAACAGGTGGAAGATACGCCAGGCGGCGATATATCACCGGTTTGACCTCGGCACGGGGTCATTATTATGGATTATCGCCGATCCACGCGAGGCCGTGAAGGGTGTCATTGGCGAGATACTGCCAGAGGGCACGGCACCGAGGGATTTCCAATTCGGAACAGTGGCGGAAGCCTTCAGTGCCAGTCTTGACACGCATATATTGCTGGCCCAGTGGGCATCAGACGAATGGCGATGGCACATCCAGTCTCTCGAGGAGACCATCGACAACATGACGCGCCCGGCCCTGCTTTTCGACGACGGCAACCAGTACCAGCCACGAGTACTTCCCCGAGCAGTAACTCGAGTCCAGGAATACGAAGACAAGGTCAACGAAGCCGTCATGGTTATGGAGTCCAACATCAACATCCTGACGTCCCTGCGGTCTTCCTACAAGACGCTGGTCGAGGACCCCGAGTTCCCGGCAGCTGATCAAGGCGCCTGCCAAAAGGCCTTCAAGAGGTTCACCACGCGCATGGACGAGTTCATCTTCGACCTCAGGACGCAGACGGATAGGGGCAAGGTCCTGTCGAAACTCGCAGCCGACCGCAAGGCCATTGTCCTCGGACAGACGCAGATGCAGGCGGCCACGAAACAGGAGAAGTTGGCCGAGAGCATGTGGCAGTTCGCCGAGAGGGGCCAGAAAGAGGCCATTGCCATGCGTACCGTCACCATCATCACGCTGCTATATCTGCCGCCGACTTTTGTGTCGACGTTCTTCAGTACCGATGTCATCAAGTATCAGGACAATGGCACTGACCAGGTCTTCTTCTCTCGCAACGCGATGATTTCATTTCTCTACGTTACCATTCCCCTGTGGGCCGTGACCCTGGTCGTTGTCGTGTTCTACTACAAGTGGGAGTCGTGGAGGAGAGAGCAGCGGGCACGTGGGCTGCTGTCTCAGGATCCGGATGTGTTTGAGTACTGGGAGAAGTATTCTAGGAGTAGTGGCAACTCTGGAAGCCAGAAGATGCCTAATTCTTTCATCGGGCACATATTGGGCAAGGGGCAGAAGCAAGCCCCGTAGACTGTAAGGTGTCATCAGGAGTTCATTCTTTCGTCCAATCTGCCTCTCTTTTTCTCTCCTGTAGTTTCACAGTCACACATCATGACATGTTAACGGGGTCGGAAATCGGCGTTTCTTTCGCTTCCACTGTATTTTTACTTGACGGCCGACATTTTTTATAAGGTCTAGCTGGTAAAATGACTCTTTCATTTTTGGTCAACTGAGCATGCCCGACAGAGGCTGCGGACTCCTCGAAGTACTTTTCACGCAGGTTGAAGCAGTCAACCCTGCCTGGCGGAGTTAGCCTGCTGCGATGTTACCATATAGGCGCCTCGTGCTGCGCCATAAGCATTGTCTTACAGCCATATATTGTTATGTCGATGTGCCCTCAGGGGTGTCGAGGACCACCAATCATGCCTTGCCGCCACGGCTATGCCCGACATAGCCACCGACCAAGGAGGGATTCCTGCATGAACCCCTCACGCCAATCTTCAATTTGGACAGGATGAATGTCTCCTCGCAGATGGGGGCGCAATGGCCTTCAGCGCCCACCGCCCAGCCTGCCTTGCAGAATGGTATTAGCGATAGGACAATGTCTTCAGAGCCTTGTCCTGATTCAAGATGTACTCTTCGACCACTCAACTATCTATCTATCTTGTAGATCCTCAGCTGATCTAACTGAGCGAAGAACCAATCCCTCAAGTTCTACATCAACAAGTTTTTCATAGACAGCTCTGCTTAACGTCTTCTTCTATAGTACCTTGATACCCATATTGAAACACCCATTGATAGTCTGTGTATTGAGCCGCTTTTGCCACTCCATTTCATTCATTGGTCAAGCCAGCGAATCTTCCGATGGAGTCCCATCCTCGAGGCCCTTCGCCGACGCAAAGCGAATACCAGGATGCAATCGGGTTCTACCGGAAAGTACGCGACGAAAACACACTTCACGAAGCCCATGAGATCGGTGGTCGACCCTTCGTTGTCGTTCAGAAAGTTACAGAAACACTGCGGAGTACGCGATCCGAACATCATAACGAACATGGTCAGATTTCGAGGTTGCTCGAGGCCGCTTACAGACGCCACGAGCACAAACCCCCCTTCAACGAGCCTGGGCAGGTCGTCGCTTGCGCGCCCATATTCTACACGTTGTTGGACATAGACCACGGCAATGAGATACACACATTTGTCGAGGAGAGCATTGACAAGCTTCCAGTGGAGCGTGCCAGGTTGAATACCCTCTTCCCCAAGGACAAATATGATGATCTCGCGGCAAGATTCCATGAGCAACAGTGGCGGTGGTGCGCGATGCAATTCGAGTGGAAGATGAGCCATAGGGTTCACGTACACGAGCAGATCGTGCCGATCGTCGCACGCAAACAGATTGAGCCGGCGAGAGATACGCTTCCAAAGACGGACCGCAAGGCAGCATTGTGGGTGGTCGAAGTACCAGCATGTTTTGTGGGCCCACGGCTTGGAGAGTGGCTTCGGGAGAATAACGATGAGAGCGATGACGGGAAACAACAGCAGGCGCAGCCTCCTTGCGTAAGTTACGCGCCCCGCCTCCCTCTTGCGTGTGATGTGACCCAGGGGCTGACTTTGGACCCGAAGCGCCATCGCTTCGTAGTCAAACAGTTCAGCGAGAAGAGACGCGATGAATTTGATCGGGAAAAGGAAATCTTCATCACAATTGGCGACTCCCATAACATCATCCAATACCTCGGATGGTATATGCATTGCGAGAAGGATCCCGACTCGGGCGCCATCCTTAACTTCTACAACATCGTCCTCGAGCTCGGAGATCAGGACCTTTACAGTGCTTTCCAGAAGGAGAACCCTCCATTAACATTTCCCGAGATCGAAGCATTCTGGCAGTCCATGTTCAACGTCGCGGACGCCCTGGCTTCCATCCATGTGATGGACCATGATCTATACCCCACCACATATGTGTAATTCACCCTGTGTGCCTGCGCTTCGTATCCGGTCGACTGACTTATCTCAGGTGGCATGGTGACATCAAGCCGGAGAACATACTCGACGTCCGCGGCAAGTTCGTGCTGGCAGATCCAGGTGAGGCGCAAGTGTTTCACGCTCCCAAGGGGCAGATCGGACTGCGCCGCACGGTGCCTGGAGGGACGCGAAGCTTTGGTGGGTGCCCGACTATAACAAGCAAGGCCTGCTACCATGGACGAAAACCACTAACTGATGTTCTTCACCGCAGCGGCTCCGGAGAAGCTCACATATTCGCCTGATCGTCCGACCGAGCCTGAGGTCACACAGGGTAGTGACATCTGGTCTCTCGGCTGTGTCTTCTCTGTTGCCGCTACATATGTCGTGCTGGGAAAAGAGGGCGTGAAGCAGTATCGACTCCTTCGGCAGAAGGCCATCGAGAATCTAGGCTTCGGAATTGGCGACCCTTTCCACGACAAAGAGAAGGTCCTATCTGTAGTGACAGATTGGCACCAATATCTCAGAGCAACCGTGCGAAAGTATGACTGCTTCACCGCCAAGGTCCTGGATATCGTTGATGGTCACATGTTGATAGTGCCGGGAGAGGACAGAATCACGGGCGCCGCACTTCGCGGCGAGCTCCAGGCTATCGATGACGATACAGTCCAGCCGGCGACAGCCTTTCCCATGGACATTGCCGAGTTCATTGACCAAGTCACACGGCGCAATGAAGGGGGTGAATCCGCTTTGGAAGACGTCCCTCGGACTTTATCCCAGAGTGGCACAGAGCTGTTTACCGAGAGACTGCTCTACCCCTCTAGACGCTCTGAAGGACGACCCATCAGCCGCCAAACACGAACCGAAGACAACTTTCTAGGCATAGACTCGGGCCGCGATCCGGGACCATCCATGACAATCCCAGAGAGAGTGTCCGGGTTCTTCACTCCGCAACAACGTGCCATGCGTGCCATGCTAGATTCACTTCCACTGATCACGACTGCGCGGAATCCGTTACCAGAAGTTCCAGAACTCAGATATGAACACCTGGAGGACCCTCCAATCACCTTCTGGGAAGTAGAGTCGACCTGCAACGCGATGGCCGGGATAAGCTGAGGCGGAGAAGGTCCGTCTATGGAAAGAGCTTGGGTGGGAAGGAAGACGAGCTGGAGAAACATTTCAAGAACCGTGACCTCGTATGTAGTGTTCTACAAAGAAGTAACGTGAGGGAGCTAACAGCATCGTAGCTTTTCCTCGTCGACAACGCATCCTCGATGAGGAGCTTCTGGAACCACGCATCCTACCTTCTCCGCATCCTCGTCTGGCGCTCATTGGGATACGACGATAACGGTATGGAGCTCAGGTTCACGACTGGACCGGAAGAGTTGAAACTCGCGCCGAAAAAGGGTCAGAAGATCCGCGACTTCGAGAAAAAACTGGCAAAGGCCAATCCAACTCAAGTAAAGTCCGACGAGAAAACAGACATGAGCGCCAGCTTGAGCCTTATCCTCGAGGATCACATCAGGCAGAACAGCGACGGATCGAAGATGAAGAGGCACCTCACTATCCTCGTCTTGACTGATGGTCTCTGGGAGCGAAACGACGAGTTCGACGTCGACGGCTACCTCGTGAACTTTATCAAGAAGATCCCCGAAGTGGACTGGAATCTAGATGGGCTGCAGAGAGCCGATTCTAAGGGTGAGCGCCAGGCATCGCGGGCGCGACCCATCAGCATCCAATTCATCCGTTTCGGCCACCACCCCAAGGCCATCGCTCGACTCGATCGGCTGGACAACCAGCTGAAAGACAGGCCCGAACTCGTTGGCAAATCCATTCCGTAAGTCCACCTTGACGAGCTCGACTCATGAATGACTCTTCGGCGTCCTGGCTGACGACGTTGGGCATGTAGCGACGTGATTGACACGGAAAGCGCAGATGGAGACGTGTACAAGATGTTCCTGGGTAGCTTTCTCGACGACTTCGACAACAAGACTATCCGGGGGGCCGCTGTGGTCAGTAACACCAGCGGCCCCAGCGCCGCGTCGCCCAACAACGAGTACGCAATGGGAACCACGACATTCCAACCCGGACACACGCCAACAACGACGACTTCATCCGGGCTTCGAGATACATACGGACATTCAACGCCTTCAGGGGGCCCGTCCAGTCGCGCGCAGACTCATTCCCTGCCCCTGAACACGAGAGTGCCCCGAACGCCTGCGGAATCCGAGCTCGACGAATGTGGCTGGACGACCAACGGACACCACCACCGTCACGGCTCCAGCGAGTCGGCGCAGAACTCCCGCCTCAGCGGCGGTCTTGGATCGCCGATGAGACCGCGGGGGGCATCTTACGGGCAAGAGGGACTGCTGTCGACTCCCCCGTCGCAGTCTCGGCCATTTGGGCAGTTCGGGTAGGGGCATCGGTTGATTTGCGGCTTTTGAATTAGAGACCCCTCTTGGGTGCGACGGCGTCTTCCGAAGAGGCACATCTCTCCTCCAATGTGCGTGACGCGAGCTGCGTTTTTGGGAGACACTTTTTGGTGTCAACAGGAGTCTTGGGCAACGATGATACCCTGGGCTTGTTTATAAGGGGAGTACAGTCACTAGGAGGCTGAATGGAAGCGATTGTCTACTTCAAACCATACTGAAGGTAATGCGTACCGATGATCTGTAAATAGGTCAACCCATCATTTTATCAGGCCAGGGGAGTCATGATCTTACCCTGATCAGGGAAACCCTTCCCTAGCTTCTAGAGAATCAAGACATCTTCCGCCTCCATTCAAGCTTTGGGCCATCTTACAGGACCCGTTCAGTGGTGGGTGAACCTGCTCAATGATCCATCACCAGGTAGTCCATCCCCAGGTTACTCTCGATACCGCCTCTCCTCCTCTTGAACGGGATCGGGGACGACAAGTGCCGATGAGCCAGGGCTCTGACATGCAAGTCCGAACAAAGATAAGTACGTGGTAAGTTACATAAGACATGTTCTTATAATAATATATATGTACAATTGATGGGACACGTTATGTACAGAGTTATTGTTAGCCCATCAGTCTTAGCGAATCCTACATTTCGCATAGCCTGCACTCGGCACTGTTTCAAGTTTCGACTTCCAACTTCGAACCTCTGCTCGACAACTATAACCAGGGCCCTGGAAGCGAAGCGCCTTCCAACCCCATATGATTATGCAGACCAAACTGCTGGGCTGCTGGGGTTGTTACGATTGGGAGCGAGCCTCATGGGGGCCCGGTAATAATAGTACGCGACCTTGTCGCCTGGCGCAGCACCGACGGCGCGGATTGGATGGTCGAATCCTTCAGGTTTCCTATTCGCTCCATGTGGGCCTTAACTTATCATTCTTCATGGTAAGCGATTCGCTCGTCGCTAATCCGCGAGCTCATCAGGCCCTCTTCCTCTTCGACTACGCGGCGGCGTAGCTGATCGGCCTGTCTCCTTTGCCGGACAAAGAAGGCGATCATAGAGCTGGAATTGGTTGGGCGCGTTACTTTGTCATCATTTCATTCTCGAATCCTTCTTGTGGAACGAATGCAAGGAGCGGATCCCTTGCCGCGTGGCGCCTCCAACGCGGAGGAAGTGGGGGGGAGAGAGAGACTTACACCGTGAACCCCATAGCGAAAAGTATCGCCGCGAAGGCCGTTGCTGGGACGTCGCCCGAATGAGCCATATATATCGCCGTGGCTTGTGCCTTGGCTTGCTCCGCTTGGGCCATGGCTTGTTCCGAGGTCGTGAGATCGTCCAGGGCATAGTCGAGTCCGGTGAGCTCGCCGGTGACTGTGTGCACCGCTGCCGTGTAGCCGAGAATCACACCCTCGCGATCCAGTGCTGCGATCCGGGCGTACGTGGCGTTGCTATCACGCAGCCTGAAGGCTGTCTCGAATCCGGTGCGGTTCGATGTGACGACGATAGGATCGTAACCGTTGAGCCCGTCGAGGCTGTCAGATGCCAACTAGACTGGAATTAGCGAAAAAGGCATGGGGGCGGCTGATGGTGCCGAGCCGGCACGAAGACTTACGACGACGTATTTTTCGACCTCTGTCGCTCCGTTCCAAGAGACGTATATGTTTGTGAAGATTCCGTCTCTAAAGGCGGCGATGTCCGGCGGCCACATTGGCATGCCCACCCACTCGGCTTTCCACGCACGATACGCGATCACGGGAACGATGCCAGGGTCGAGCTCCAACACTTGCCCTCGCTGGATGTCCATCACCAGTTCCCCGTCGGCCGTGTGTTCCGTATACATCGGGTTCTGGCCCCACGCGATAAGGACATTGCCATTGGCCGTCCGGCTGATGCCTCCGCGGGACGCACTGAAGATACTCTGGGGATGGTACCACTCGTTGACCATCTTGAAGGTCATCGCAACTGCGTCGACCTCGATCTCCAAGCCGCGGGAGCATCCGCCCTCGTGGCAAAAGCCGTTGAAGACCTGGTGATTATCGAAGAGCGTCATGCGGTTGTTGGCAGACAGGCGGGCGTTGTGCTGCCAGTGGAATTCCGCAGAGCCTCCCTCGGTGACGTCGGTGAAGTGGCTTCTCTTGCCTCCCAGAACCCATTTGACTTGCCTGGTCAGGCCATCCAGAAGCACGATGCTGTGAAGGTGACGGTAACTGAGAAGGAAATCCCCATGGGGCAGCTACACGCGTCCATGTTAGCCGAAATCTAGGCGCTCGTTTGTCTCCGCCAGTAACCATACCTTCTCAATACTGTTCATATGCCACAGATCGTGCGGGAAATCAGAATGGAAGGGTCCTTCGCCACGATATGGCCAGAACGAATCCTCGACATGGAAGTAATCCAGCGTATTGAATTGAAATCTGACCTCGTTCGTGACAGGATCAACCTCCTGCATAAAGCAATTGGTGCCGGGTTCGGGCCCAGGTCTGCCAATGGGTGCCAAGTCGATGTACTCTGCTCGGCAAACGACCATGGCGACCGTACCGTCGTCGGTCAAGGTTGCCTCGTGGCAGTCTGCTCCCAGACCAAAAAGGTCGCCTTGCGGCACGACCTGGTATATCAGCTCATATCTCTGGTTCCAGATCCGAACCCTGCCTTCGGCACAGACGAAAATGACAGGCTGGCCGTGGAGCACCTGAGTCCGGACCGCTTGAGCGTCACCGTAGACTTGGTTGGCCCAGATGAGTGAGAGGTCCTTCGACGACACGATGCTAGGGCCGTATCCATCATAGCCACCGGTGATGAACAGGTGCCCGCTCTGGTCGATCTTGTCCGAGTCAAACTTGTTGACCTGATACCGCGGGGCTTTTATGGGAGACGAAAAAAAGGTCTGATTGGGTTCGGGACCAAGGTCGCCAGCTTGAAAAGATTCCAGGTGGGTGTATATGGGTGCGTCGGCAACGACTGGCGTAGTTGCAAGCATACTATACAGGAAAGCAGCAGTGGCCGCTGTGGAGAAGAAGTCGAAAGGCATAGTGCAACCAGTAGTATATGAACATGACAACCGTAAATGTTGCAATTCCGAGTTACATGTTGACAGTCAGGCGAGACTGTTTCTAGATAAAGTACCCAAACAAGCCAAAGGAGCCGACTGCCAAGCGACGACACGCAATCAGGTAGCGAATAAGTCCACAAGAAGGATCGCTGACGACCGCGATCTTCCTACGCTGGGGAGCCAGATGGGCGTGATGGGGCTGCCATCATTGATCGATCCTACAGATATCCGGTGACTTGTCATCTTGCGCCGTCATGTGTAGCCAAATGAGTCTGAATCCCTCTGCCCGTCTACCGCCTATGTGGGACCCAATGAAAGGCTATATATAGCCAACCCATGTAGGAGACCCCTTGCATGAGATATTGGGCTGGCTGGGTAGACGCGTCGATGGGAGTCTGAACAAGCTTCTGCCAACACCGACAGCGAACGACGCGAAGGTGGCAAAGTCTACAGTATGACACCAACCTCAGCGGCTCCCCCTACTTGTAAAACTCCATGCCGTCGACATTTACTGTGCCGTTGGAACCTTGGATACTGTGCCGTCCGACCTGGCCGACAGTGTCGAAGATGGACAAGTCGTCGCAAGTGCTTACTATGACAGGTAATGGCCATCAAGTAACATGACACTGGCCACGTCGCTACAGTCTTATGGAACACCGCTGCCATCCACGAAGCTGCGATACTTCATTTCGAGGCTCGATCGTTCCTGATGTGAGTGAGTTGGATGGTGGTATCAGTATTCAAGTCGCGGTTCTGTCTGGTTTGGATATATATGCAAACATTTCACGAGCAAACAGACCGCTGGGTGCTGAATGTGGGAAAATTGGCCATGCGCGTCTGTCTCAAACCCAGCATGAACGCACCGCTGGTATGGGTGAACCGGTATGAAGCTCAGCGAGTACTCGGGAGAACTGACTGGATGCTACACTCTGAGGTATGAACCTGCGATCGTCCAGAACACAGGCAAATATGTATTGACACAAGCAAGACCTTTGGCCGACCCACCTTGATCACAGTCGAATGCATATAGGTGAGGTGGTACGCCGGTATGGCAGAGGGTGTCCCAAGTTGTGATCTATTCACCTTACCACCTCTTGGGTGCAGACACAGCGCCTGCCGTAAAGGTTCGGCGTTCGGTGGTCACTTTTGCCCTCTCCTTCTCTAGCTTCGCCAGCCCGACTCTGTCGGTGACGGGGGTTGCGTCGATGATATTGTCGAACGTGTCGTCCTCATCTTCATCCCCGTTATCCGAGTCTGGCTCTATATCGGAATCGACTTGGTACTTTTGCGGTTGAGGCGGAGGTATTGCCTGTGGTTTTGATCTGCGCTCCGAATCTTCGGGATTGGCAAACGGTTTCGACGCCAGCACTTTGCGCCGGATCTCCTCCATCTCGGCCTCGTCATCATCGTCGTCCGAGATATCGAAAGGGTCTCTGCTCTTCCCTTCCGCCTCCTGGTGTGCTACGTTGTCTCCAGGCTTTGGCCACTGAGCTGGCTTCTTTCCTAGATATATACCATCCACGCTGCCGCCGTCTCTCTCTTGGCCCTCGGCATCACCTTCGTCGTCGTCCTCCTCCTCCTCGTCATCCGAGTCGACAACTTCTCTTCGATTGAGATTGCCTCCCTTCCACAAATCGTCGTCATCAACATTCTCCCTGCTCTCAGCATGCTCCCGCTCCAGGCGCTCCAACCACTCCCTCTCTGTCTGCTTGAGCGACTCCTCGTCTGCACAAGCGGCATACTTCTTAAGTAGTTTCGAGTTGATATTGAGGAAGGATTCGCCGTAGTTGAATGGTCGCAGAATGTATTCAGCCCAATCGGGGTGGCCGCAAATGTAGAAGGCCGCGGCCAGGGCCTCGACACAGTTTAGCCGGTAGGGCTTGCCGTAGTTGACGGAATTGGCGGCGACGAGGTATGGCAGCAGTCGCTCGCATTTACCTCCGACCTTGCTCCACTGTACTTCTTGTGTTCGTGCCCAGGAGCATTCCACGACAGCAGCGCCATACTGGTCCATGAGTTCTCTGTCGGCGGGCGAGAGGGTGCGCTTCCCGTTGGGTGTGATGATGACGCCGTTGTGTCGTTGGCCCATGTGGAGGTCGCGCATGAGGCCGAGTTTGATGAGCTTCTTCCCCGAACATCGCTTCGGATCGCAGTGGTTCAGGTCCCAGCAGGCGGCTTTGAATGGTGGTGGCGCCGAGTCGGCATTGTCAGGATCGTCTTGGTCGGGGCGTGCTCGAGGACGAGGGTTGCCCTTCCCACCGCGGAACTTGTCTTTCTTATGACGAACCATAGTAGGTGCGAAGAGATTGGGACTGAGCGGTCTTGTGGAAGAGTCGATAGTCGATTTCGGGGGTTTGAGTGCGGCTGGTCGACTGTGAAGCGTGATGATGTGTGATGACAGGTTGCGACTCAAATGACTACTCCCGTCCTAACAATCTTCAAATGTGCGGACGACGCGATCTGCCCGTGGGCCGTGGTGGGGGTCTGGCCGCGGGGCAGTCATGTGACCTCGTACGTAACTTGGGAGGGCGTCAGGCTTCAGGTACGTACCCCTTCTGCCCCTGTGCCACTGGGGCTGTGGGCGATCGACGGTTGCCCCTGTTGTCCAGATGTCAACTTCCCCCCCCCCCACACCCCAACTCCAGCCACTGGCCACTGCCACCTTCGTGCCGCATCTCCCATCGCTACCATACCCACGCCGACGTCCACGCCCACGATAGCACCCTCTGGCCTTTGGCACTGCCTGCACGCAGTTCGAATGTGGGATGTCTGGTAGTTGACGCTAGATCACCCATTCCTAGACCGAATAGCAAGCACGTGTCTATGGAAGACCTGATGATATAGCGCCTTGCTTCGAGCGCATCCCTTTTCCTCCTCGACCCTTGATTGGTATTCCATCCGCGACACCGACACCGACATCGACATCTCCAAAGCTACACATCACGATGGAGGCTGCCTCGGCCCGTGCTGCGGCAAGGGATCGCTGGAACGAGCAGGGCTACCCGCGCCCGTCTCAACTACAGCGGTTCATCTCAAGTGCCTGCAGCCCCGAGAACTACGAGCCAAACCTGGCCCTCAACCTCGAGATTTCCGACCTGATCAACAACAAGAAAGGCAGCGCTCCCCGCGAAGCCGCCGTCGCTATCGTCAACTACATCAACTCGCGCAACCCCAATGTCGGCCTCCTCGCTCTGAACCTGCTGGACATATGTGTCAAGAACTGCGGATACCCCTTCCACCTCCAGATCAGCGCCAAAGAGTTTCTCAACGAGCTTGTCAGGCGATTCCCCGAAAGACCACCACTTCGATATACCCGCGTCCAGACCAAGATTCTCGAAGCCATCGAAGAATGGAGGAGCACAATATGCGAGACCAGCCGGTACAAGGACGACCTGGGCTTTATCAGAGACATGCACCGTCTGCTTAGCTACAAAGGCTACCACTTTCCCGAGGTCAGGAGGGACGATGCTGCGGTATTGAATCCCAGTGATGTGAGTCTACGGCCATGCCATGCGCCAATTTGCCTACTGACAGCCCCAGAACCTCAAATCCGTCGAGGAAATGGAGGAGGAGGAACGGGAGGCCCAATCGGCCAAGCTTCAAGAATTGATCCGAAGAGGTGCCCCGGAAGATCTACAGGAGGCAAACCGACTGATGAAGATCATGGCCGGTTTTGATACGAGGACCAAGACAGATTACCGCGCCAAGGCAGCGGAGGAGGTGGGAAAGATCCAAGCGAAGGCCCGACTTCTGGAGGAGAGATTGGCAGCTTTCAAACCCGGCGACTCTATGACCGACGGGGATGTTTTCGAAGAATTGGCTGCCGCGCTTCAAAGCGCACAACCCAAGATCCAGAAGATGTGCGAGGAGGAGTCTGACGACCATGAGGCCGTTGCGAAGCTATTCGAAATTAACGACAGCATACACCGGACTGTCGAGCGGTGGAAGCTTCTCAAGAAGGGTGACGTCGAAGGCGCCAACAAGCTTGCGCAAGGGGCGCCGATGCCAACATTGGCCCCAACCTCTTCAGCACCTGGAAAGGCATCATCGGCGGCAAATGAGCTTTCCTTGATCGACTTCGATGGAGAATCTGGTACAAATGGAGCGAGCAATGCGGCTGGCTCAAGCTCTCAGACTGGTGGAGTTGAGAATGACCTCCTGGGTCTGTCTTTGGGAGACAGTGGCGGTAACTATGGCCAGGGTGGTGGCATCTCCCTCGGATTCGGTGCAAACTCAAGTCTGTCTACCTCTACCAACACAATGCCAGAATGTGAGTTTTCGGCTGACCATTTTGTTAGATATGCCAGGACCTGCGCTCCTTTCTTCCATGACACAGCATAGCACTGCTGGGGGAGCTGCCCCAGCGCCTACACCACCACCAGTCTCTCCAAACTTTTCGGGATTTGTCTCCCAACCTTCAACGTCTCAAAGCAGCACCCCACAAGTTCCTCTGGGCCAGTACTCTGCTTTCTCGCAGCCGGCGCAGAGGAATAACGATCTCTTTGCCGCTCTCGCATCGCCGCAGTTCTCATCCAAACCGTCCACACCGAAGCCTCCTGCTCCCGCCGCGGCGAACGAAGACGATGAGTGGTCGTTCTCTTCGGCTTTACCGACGGCGGCCCCTTTGCTCCCCAGGGAGCACAGTGCAACAGTAAAGGATGGCCCATTACAGATTAACATGAAAGCTGCACGACCGCCGCAATCAGGCAATGCCCTGGCATTGGCTTTTGCCTTTTCCAACATGACTATGCAGCCCATCAGTGATCTCCACTTTCAGCTGGCGGTGACAAAGGTGAGAGTCCCTCGTACCCCTATTCTTCAGCTCTGCCTTGCAGCCCTACTGACACGTCCCAACTAGGGTTACGAGTTGCAGCTCCAGCCTCAAACAGGGCGCGCTTTGCAGCCCAATCAAAAACACGGTGTGATGCAGGCGATTCAGGTGTGGCACGCAGGGGATCAGACAAAGAAGGTCGCAAGCATCAAGCTGCGGTGGCGTGTGAGCTATACGCTCGGTTCAGAGGTCAAGAGCGAGATGGGCGATATACCAGAATTCGGTGTCGCGTAAAGCCGGTACAAAGGGGTAAGGTCAATAAAGGCATTCTTGATTGTTGATATGGTTGCTGAATTATCTTGGATTGTGACTCGTTTCTTGTGAGCTGTGTAGTCCTCACTTTCGACTAACTGCAGGACTGTTGCCTGTTATTTTATCATCAAGCCAGGTATTCTGGTTACCAACGCGCATGCTGGAAGCTGGGACCATACATACGACAGGATCAGGTCACCTTTGGCATAGCGGGTATTGAGAAGGAGGTGGAGTCAGTCATTTCAGAAGGCGCCGGCGAGGGTGGGAGTCGGAGTGCGCTTCAACACTATACGGCGCGCGTGGCAAGACATCGTCGCCACCACGGCGCTTGTCAGCGAATTCGAGTGCGTCACCCAGCACCTCATCCAGACCGCTTGCACCCGAGGACGTCATCAAGCGATATTGTTCATTTTGATCGGTGAAGTGGCAGTCAATACGCACTGTACACCTGCTATTCGAACAAGAATGGAGCATGCCACCCACCCACCTGGTGAACAGACAAGGGGCTGGCTAATGATCAAGTATGCGTCTAGGTTTTGTGCCTCGATGCTGGAGTGGGCATGTCTTCCATATATTGTGCCTTGTATATACAGTACAGTACAGTACAGTACAACCAGAGATATATATATGCTCCTCGCCATGGAATGCTAGACTCGACGCAATGCGCCATCATATATATGTTGCACACCATCATATCATACACCCCAGTCTCTTATAGCTAATGTCATCCGCGATCTAGATTATAAGTCGTGAAGGACATCCTAGACCAACACAACGGCAGTCCTTATCATACAAGCCGCCTCCCTTTCGAGCATTGGAACTAGCGACACTTATTACTTACAAGGTCCGTGCCGTCTTGACCTCGTCGTACGCCTGGATCTGGTCGCCAATCTCGAGGTCCTGGAAGTCCTCGAAGCCTATGCCACACTCGGCACCTTTGCGCATCTCCTCCACGTTCTTTTTGATGTGCTTCAGGGTCTCGAGCTTGCCTATTTTGCAGTCATTGGGTCAGTAAAATGGTCGCCTTCCTATAGGGAATATAGAGAAAATCAAGAAGAAATCGAGGCGTTGAAAAAGTGAGGAATATTGGCAAAGAAAGAGTGGGAATTGCAGACTCACCGTCATACAGCTTCTCTCCCTTCCGGAACACACGGTACAGGCTGTTCCGCGCGACGACGCCGTTGCGCACCCTGCAGCCGGCAACATTCTTGTACACGCGCCCGCGCACGTTGATCGGGAAGATCTGCAGAACCTCGGCCTCGCCCAGAACGCGGCTAGTGACATCGGGCGTCAGGTACTCGCTGAGCTTGGCCTTCACTTCGTCGACGAGATGATAGATGATGGTATGGTCGAGAATGCGCACACCTTGCTCCTCGGCCATCCGCTTGATGTAGCCTGGCGTCGTCGTGGCGAAGTTGATGATGGTCGACTTGGACGTCGCCGCGTGCTCGACATCGAACTCGCTGATCGGGCCGGCTGCTGACCGCAGGATTCGCGGCCGCACCTCGTGACTGCCTATCTCCAGGATCGCGGCGCATACTGCCTCCACCGAGCCGTGGACGTCGCCCTTGACGACAAAGTTGACCAGCTTGGTGCCATCCTCTTCATCGGCTAGCTCCTCGGCGGCTGTGGGATCTTCCGCTCCTTCTGCAGCTGCTTTCTCGCGAGCACGCTTCTCTTGCAGGGCTTTACGAGCCTCGCCGATGACCTCGTAATCGGCGGCATCCTTCTCACGCTCACGAAGGCCCTCGCGGTAGGTAACTGCACTCTTGGCTTTGCCCTCGTCCGGCGCTTGGATGACGGCATCTCCAGCAGCGGGAAGATCTTTCCAGCCTAGAATTTCGACGGGACTTCCGGGCGGTGCCTCATCGACGTCAACACCAGCTTCGTTGCGGAGATGTCGGATCTTGGCCCATGTTAGACCAGCCGCAATGTAGTCACCTGGTCTCAGTGTACCTCGTTTGACAAGTACAGTGGCGGCCTTGCCCGTCGTTTTGAGGCTACTCTCGAGGATCCATCCTTCGGCTGGGCCATCAACTTCGGCTCGGTGATCCAGAATTTCGGAAAGTGTAAGAATGTTCTCTTCTAGGTCGGCCATACCCTCACCGGTCTTGCCACTGACACACACGACCTGGACGTCTCCTCCAAAATCCTCAATCTCAACGCCGTTCTCAGCAAGGTCATGCTTCACAAGATCAATGCGGGCACCATCCTTGTCGATCTTGTTGATCGCTACAATTATGGGCACCTTTGAAGCGCGTGCGTGCTTCAGTGCCTCGATGGTCTGAGGCTTGACACTGTCATCCGCGGCTACAACCAGGACGACGATGTCGGTAACGTTCGCACCTCGCTGTCGCATTGTGAGGAATGCTGCGTGCCCAGGGGTATCAAGGAATGTGATAGGTTTTCCCGATGAAAGCTTCACGGAGAAGGCACCGATGTGCTGGGTGATGCCGCCGTGTTCCTGTGCTGCGACGGAGGACTTGCGCAGGTAGTCGAGGAGCGTCGTCTTACCATGGTCTACATGGCCCATGATAGTTACAACGGGCGGTCGTTCCGGTAGAACTGAAGGATCCACGGGTGGAGGACGGGGTTTGAGGTCATCACCTTCGCCCGACCTGACGGTGGGCTCGTAGCCATATTCTTGCGCGACCAGTGCCGCGGTCTCACCCGCCATGAGACTGTCCAACGTCACGCCTTCGAAGCCCAGCTCGCCTAATTGGACCAAGAACTCGTCTGGCCTGATCTTCAGCGCGTCCGCCAAGGCCGTTATACTGATCAGTTCTGGCAGGAGAATCGGTCTTGGCTCTGTCTGCTCGGAGTCGCGCTGCGCCTTGCGCTCTGCCTTTTGCCGTCGTCTCTCCTGATAGCGGTCGAAACTGCTGACAACCTCCTCGTCTTCATCAGCATCACCAAATCGAGATTGCCGCTTTGATCGCTTCCCGCGTGCTTTATCCGTTCGCTCTTCTCTTTCGAATCGTTCCAGCCTTCTATCTCGGTCTCGATCCCGGCCTTTGGGCTTCTGAGATCTACTTTGAGATTCATAGTCAGATTGCGGTAACGGAACCTCCTTTGTTTCAGACTTGGCTTCGCTTGCTGCGGGTTGTTGCCGGTTCATCTTTCTATACTCAATTCTCTGATCGAACTCCTTGCCCCAGTCATCCGAGGGATTGGGTTTTGGATCTTCACGACCAACAATCTTGCTGTCCAGAGACCCCTTCGCTGTTTTTCCAGATACCTGACTCCTGGATTTCCGCCCTTCAGCATCCCGGCCGTTATTAGAACCAAAAGCAGCCCAAAAGTCCCCCTTATTTGACTTTTCCTGAGTTTGTTTTCGCGCAAGTTGACGCCAAGGCGTCGGCGTTTCAGCCGTCGAGTCTACGTCCCTGGTCGGACTTCTGCTGAATCTGTCGTTTGACGGAGTGTGGTAAAAGTTATTGTCCGATAGTCCCCGGTCCCTCGACTTGCTTCCGCCGGGAATTGTGTCTCGTTGGTTACGCGTACGTGGAGACCAGCTATCGTTGCCATAAGCCGGTTGCATAACGTTATCACCACGACTTGCACTGTGGTCAAATCTATTGCGGTTCTCCCGGGTTCCTATATTCATGAATGGTGTCCGTCTCTCAGATTCACCACGTGAAACTGATGTGGAGCTCTCTGCTGTCCTGCTTGCTGAAGCGTCTGATGGCCAGCCGCTTGCCGCATGTGATGGTATAGGTCTCGCAGAGCCCGAGTCCTCTGAGGTCTTTGTTGGTTGTGGTGGAGTGGACCAGAAACTGCCACTCTGTGCCATATTTGACAAACGAGGTCTGACGATATCATGGCCGAGTTCCAGAGCCGGATCCCCGCGTCGTTGCCTTGGAGAGGTGCTCCTCTCATTACGACCAGGTGCTGATGGAACCAAGGTCACTGGGGACTCCTCGGGGTTATTCACGATCCGCCTGTGGAATGAATTCACCTCCCTAGGAGGGGGCCTCTGGTCTGACGGTCTGGCTCGCTCAAATCTGATCGATGTGTTTGAACCGGGATCGGATCCCCGCTGTATAGGCGGCACGAAAGTTCGAGGTTCTCTTTGCATTCCCGAGTAGTCTCTGAGACGCAGTGGATTTTCTCTCCTTAGGTTCCTCTCAATTTCTTGTTGTCTCTCAGGGTTCCATACATATCGAGCCTTGACCCTCTCATCGACGAACTCGGGGGCTGGTGACCGTGGTGCTTCTTGCGCAAGCTTCTTCTTCAACAATGCTTCTCGCGCCGCTATCTCGTGCCGGCTTAACAGTGTGTCCTGATGCACGGGGCCGGAGCGGTTCGGGACGTCTCTGGACGGAATTTTTGCTTCATCTGAGGCATTGTTCGAGGGGAGAGAGCTGCCCCAGCTAGCCCCAGATGCTGCGCCGGCCGGGGTCCCCCAGCTGGGCCGGTTCTGGTCATCGTTCTTGTGACATGGTGAGCTCGAGAAAGCGCGGGGTCGTGCAGTGGGCAGTCGGAGAGATTGACGATACCGACAGAATGCGCAGATCGAGGTATCCCGCTGTAGCTAAGAAGTCAGTCTTGCCTCTTGTCGGATCGCACAATGGACGGGGCTCTTGCGCGCCACCGAGAATGGCAGGAAGCTTACATTCAATATCCTCCGTCTCAGCATACTGAAATTATTTGCCCGAGAAGCTGCGCAACATCTGAGATGTACACAACATGCACGAGCGGGAGAAGTGGCGAGGATGAAGGCTTTGGAGTATCAGCGACGCGACGATTCAATCTGTCAATGTTCTGGTGAATTATTCGAACATCCTTACCTTCAAATGCCAACACGCACCACAAGTCTGGATGGGGCCACTAACAGGCACCAGGATCCTGTTGCGCCACACCGACAGGGGGAGCTAACTGGAGCTTCAGCTGAGGCTGCTGGGTACGTACTCCTCCTAGCCTCCTATCATCAAATTGGTTTCAATGTTTTACAAATACTTGGACAACACCTGATCAACACTCGTCAGTGCTGCACGTCCGCCGCAGTCTCAACCATGGCGAAGCAGAGAAAGGCCACCAAGGCAGCAGCGCCAGCCAAGCGCAAAGACGGGGGCCCGCCAGCACCCTTCAAGCGTCCCGCCGAAGTCCTGCAGCCCATCGTCGACACGCTGGATGAGAAGCAGGTCTACATCATCCACATCGACTCCAAGCCCGCCGCCTTCAAGCGCAAGATCTTCGTCGTGCCCGTGCTGATGAACGTCGTCATCGCTGCCCTGCTCGTCTGGCGCATGTTCCACATCGGGCCCTACTACCTCAGCATCTTCGCCTCCGTCCTGGGTTACTCCAACGACACCACCATGGTCGTCGACGAGATGGAGTGGGACGAGATCGTCCCCGAGGTCCTGCGGCGCGGCTTTTCCTTCACGCTGGACTTCCTGCTCTTCATGTTCGTCGCGCCATGGCCCCTCGACTTCGTCTTCTCCCAGGAGAACGGGAGCCCCGTGGCGTGGCGGTGGGCCGTCGGGTTCCGGAACCGCGAGGTCATCGTGCGGAGGAGCAAGAAATGGGTCGAGACCATGGGCGACGTGGTCAACGACGAGACATGCAAGGGCCTGTTCATGGCTCACGTCAACGTCGCGACGTCGCCTCTGGCCATCGGCGAGAAGACGGGCTACCTCCTCATGAACGCCGAGTGGGATCTGGACTGGGTGGCCATGGTCGACGCCACCACCATGGTGGACAAGAAGATGGCTGCGATCGAGGCCTTCACGCTCGTTGTGCTGCTGCACCACGAGGAATGGGGATGGCTGTGTGTCGACATGAAGGAGGAAGTCACCGGCCCGCAAGACCACAGGCGACGGCAAGTCATCATGTTCAGAGACGCCCTCGCCACCAAAGGCAAGGAGGACCTGTTTTACCGGTGGATTGAGATCATTCAGTACGAATCGTCACAGCCGGGAGGTTTCGGTCCCGAGAAGCAGGAGGGGGCGGCTAAGCAGATCAGAGACATGTTCCAGAAGGAAGGCATCGATTTCGATCAGCAGTGGGAGGAGACCGTCGGTACTGCTCCCTCCGTGGGTATACAATGATGAGTCTTCGCAGTACATACCGTATATGGGGGTCTACATCCGGTATTCCGTATTCCGTGCCGTATTCATAGTCAGCTCGAAATACATGAGCAGGAATGAGCCAGGCTCTCGCATACATTGAGTCGAGCAGGAGGTGGAAATTGTGGCTGCTGGAGGCCCTCCTACATCTACTCTAGCCCGGACATAATAGCGCGTAGGCTATGTGGCCAGGTGCCCGGCCGCGTCCTCAAGAGAGTACTTCTTGCTGCTTCATTGGACTTGATGGTCAGCTTGATCCAGAAGACGGGCCTTCCGACGTCGAGGTGTTTACGAAGCAGGATAGGCACCCATCCTTGGGTGATACCTCATACACGGGGAACAGGTTCTTCAGGGCACACATAAGGATCCCCATTGGCAGCAGTAATCCACGGCCAAAGTCACGGCTGGTGGGCATGACGAATTCATATTCATGCGCAACGGGAGGAGTATCCGGAGACCGACGGCTATGTAGTCCATAATGAAGACAAATCAGTTCATTTGCCCTTTCCCTTCTTCGCAGGTTTACCCAAAGCAGCGTCACGCTTCTTCTGCTCCTTGGCCATGATCTTATCCTTCTGAGCCTTCTCTTGGGCTTCTTTCTCTTCCTTCTCAGCCTATATAGTCGCGTCAGCAGGGAACGACACTCGATGGTTTCGGTGTAGCAACGTACTGCCTTGCGGGCAGCGTCAGCCTCTCGCTTCTCCCGAATGAGTCGCAGGCGAGCCATGTCGGCCTTGGCCTCGTCCGTCTTGCCGGCCTCGTGCAGCTTGCGGTACCTATCCTTGGCCTGCTGGGCCTCCACCGACTCCCGTTCCTTTCTGCTCATGGCGACCTTCTTGACGCCCTCCGTGATCTCCTCGACGGCGGCGGGTTGAGCCTTAGTCATGTTCCGCGCGGCCTTGGAGTGGTTCGGGTTGGCGGGCATGTCATCGTCCTCGCTGTCCTCGTCCGAGTCGGTGGGCATGTCGCCGACCTGCACGGCGCCCTTCTTCTTCTTGGCCACGGCGGCCTCCTTCTGGGCCTTCTTCTGCTGTCTGCGCTCCTCTCTGCTGAGCTCAGCATTCTTGGAAGGGCCGGCTTCGTCTTCAGAATCCTCGTCCGAGTCTTCCTCGGAGTCCTCCTCGCTCGAGTCGTCATCGTCATCGTCCTTGCCCTTGGCCTGTTCGCTCCACATGCTGACTTCGTTGCCATCTGCGTCGAGGGGTCGAAGGTCACGCGAGAAGTGCTTTCCGCCTGCGAAGATGCGAGATTAGTATCTTGGTGGGCTGGCAGGGGCGACGGAGCTAGAAGAAGCTCATACCTCCGCGAGTAAACTTCTTGAACTTGCCGCCGCGGCCGCGAGAGTTGGCGCCTGGTGCTGCTCCTCGTCCCGTCATGGTTGCGAATAGGGGTATCGGAGGGGGGGTAGAGTATGGCGGGGTAGTTGGTAGTCTTGGCCGATGTCGAATCGGAAGTGGCCAATGTTCTGTCTAGAGCACAGAGTCTGCCGGCGACTGGGTTCTCGAGATCAATCGCGACAAAGAGTTGACGAGTCAAAATCAAGTCGAAGATATTCTGTTTGAGAAGAAGGGACAAAGCCAGGTGTTGCCTGGGGATAATCACTGTCGGGGAATACTGGTCAACTCATCAGTGACCAACGTGGGTATCGAGGGGCATGGTGTATGTTTTGGTGGGGTACTCTACATTATTTTCACAAACGCTGTCATTTGGCGTTTGCATTGATGGTGGGTCGCTTCTAGTGCTGTGGCTTGCTCGTCATGACGGGAATGAGGCTTGAAAGCACCGCTTTAACGTTGCTCCACGTAAGCCGCAGCCGTGTGGGTCCCAGTGACTACCACGAAAGTTTCTTCTGCCGCGTCTGACTTTTCCTTCTCCCTTTCTTCCTCACATAAAACTATTAATCCTCCCTATTCACTCTGGCTTTCGTCACTCAATGGCAGGTCTTGGAGGGGAAATGGGAGGAGAGAGGAATCTTTCGATCACTTACCCTCTGGCCTGTTACAGTTCTTTCTGCCGTTGGGTACCAGAGAAATTATTGCATCGATACATACATACATACATACATACATACAGTACCGTCCAACCTGCACATTGCACATTGCACATTACACCTTTCGTGGCCGTACTAGAAGATCTACTCCCCTCTTGTATCGTCTACGTGACAGAGGGAGTCCAATGTTGACATGCACTGGACACTTCAAGGTGACTCTAAGGATACACAAGGATCGTGATCACGATGGCACAAGGCTGTAGAGGCTGTGGCTACATACCTAGGTAAGATGGATACACACCGGGACTCATCCTGTCCAGCATGCCAGCAACTCTACCTCTACACCGTAGCCAGACAAACATCAAGATAGGTACACTCAGCCCTCATAAGTCTCCGTACGCGCATTGATGTTGATAAGATTCCGCATCATTCGTAAAGAATCAAAATATTGGAATGAGAATGCAGGAATAAGCAGCTCTGGTTTGATACGTCACTTGCACTGCTTATTCCAGTGTGCTTATTCCGATTTGATAAATATACCCTGGATTGGAAGAGGGTGGTGTACGGAGACTTATGAGGGTTCAGTGTAGCGTGCACCCGCCCCTGGGCTGTCTTTCTCGTGGCCTCCGCCCCTAGCCCTGATACTCATCTCGCGCATCCGATGAATTGCCTGCCATGAGCTCATCCATCGAGGTGTTCGCCGCGATCAGATCCCCCTGGCTGCGGCCCACCGGCGTGTAGTCGAAATAGCATTGCAAAGACTTCGTGCTTCTCGCAGAGGACCACCGGATAGCCGTCGTTAACGCCATTATGAAGGCACTGCGAGCATGCCTTCCAGCAGTCTTCGAAATTCTGCCAGGAGATGCCACCCAACAAAAACTCATACCCGGCGCATTCCTGACGATCCTTCCACCCTTTATGGTATCCGGTACCTAGAGAAATACAGCACCGGTCAGTCACGGTCTGTTGCGAGCGATCTAACGGCGCGCGACGCAAAGCGCTACAGGGCTGTGGTGGCTAGGTACTCACCTAGGATCAGCTCGTCGATGCACTGCGATATCCGAGTCAGGACAAGGTAACTCAAGATGCTAGGTACTTCACTTACCCTGTGCAGCTTCATCTGCTCTTCGAAGGAACTCAGGCGTCCTCCCGGGGTTATCTCGTCGCTGAGTCTATAGCGTGAGCACCAGAGTCCACCACCAACTACTGTAGGGACGGCTGCGAGCAAAGCAGCTCCGACGATGGTGAAGCGCATGTTGAAGTTCCGCATGTTCAAGTTCCGGTCTCGAAGCTGGGTTGTGTGGTGTTGTTTGGGATTGGGTGCAAAGATACAGGAGAGGGTTGACAGTCTGTTCCAGGAGAGAATGAACAATCTATTCGCAGTGGGCACCTAGGTAGGTGGCTATATACTCGGCCAATACGCCACTAAACACTTGGATTGAGCCATAAATGAATAATAAGAATAAAAGTAATAACAAAAATAACCTTTTCCGTTACATGCTCATAACATGCCATCAATAAGCCCGCACAAAGCACACCAAGAGGCTTAAGCCATCGCTTCATTTGACACAAAATAACTTGGGACGCAATCAGCCACACAGAACAACCTTGAATGCATCCGTGGTCTGTAACAGTTGCTGCCGACGGCGTGGAAGGGGTACGAGATACCAGCATCTCGCACGGGGAAGTCTGATGGTTGGAGAGACCATCAAGGTTGCGCCACGCCGAACACTCACAAACTAGGTATGCCTTGGGCCATTCTGAGCTGTTTCAGTAATGGGATCCTCTTGCCGGGTGCGCAGATTATGATCAAGGGCGCCTCGGAGGCGGGAATACTTACGCTTGATGGGCAGGGAAATGCACAAGGACTTCTTGGGTTTCAATGTGCCGTTGCTTGGTTGGGGCTCAGAGAACGCTTTCATCAGAAAAAGACAAAAGTCTCGCTGGAGCCATAACGTCGAGCCTAAGTTGATGAAACTATCGAACACATCACACCACCTTCAAGCCTTTACACGGACCTCGACTGGCCGGTAGGCACAGCAAGTGGGCAAGGGCCAAGTTGCATGTCACCAACTCACGTCACGCAGCTAAAGAGATGTATTGAGAAACGGGCGAATACCTTCGACACATCCCGCTGACCTACATTTCCGGTCTGACTCGTCCATCTACCCCCATATTCGTGCGAGAAGGCTGAGCGTCGTTAAATATCCGATGACAGTTTCATTGATTCATCGCAGGTCAATGTATATACTGGCCAACGGGACTCAGTTGCTGTTCTTCTCTAAACTCTCTTGATGCTGGTGGCAACCTCGTTGCCTTGGATTTTGTACAAGAGCCCATAGACTCATGCTAGAATGTCACAACCATACGCGACCATACGCTCATATTCTCCTTTTGACTTGAGGCTTGACGGGGGAATGCATTGCAAACCCTCCGTGGGCTTCTGAATCTTACTGACGCGTTTGATTTGATGGCGTAATAAGATGGAAATGGATCTGTTGAATGGCGCGCAAGCCACCGTGGCGTTCATGGAGGTGGCAGTGCACCAACAAGGCCAATAGGGCATTTTTAGGCCACAGCAGGATTTTCACACAGACACAGCAACAAGGCTGATTACACCAGAATATATGTTTTCACCCATCTAAAAGCCCGCATGCTCTGTTTGACAGGATCAGCTACACCAACAAGGTGCCTGGCCACCATGAAATCCCTAAACTTCCACTGAAATCACCAGCCATGTGCACGACACAAGAGAGAGCGGAGCGTTTCAAAGTATCATCAAGACATGGTTGTTGAGACCTTGTTTCCTCGTCCACTCCATGGAAACAGAAAACTTTGAATACACCTCTGAGAGTTGTGGTTGAGGTCTGCTAGAGTTTGCACAGATCCTTCCATCGTGGAATCACAGGTTGGCAACTGGAGAAAGATAGGTAGGTATGGACGCTAATGCGCGCATTTCGAAACATATCCTCCTTGAATCATCACATTGCGTACACCCTGGGACAGGACACCACCTCCCGACTTCAACAAGACAACTCCCATCAAACTTTCAAGTCTTTCGCCACGATACAACAGCAACATCCAAGATGTCGGACGGAGAGACGGGCGATCACGTCCTAGACTCGACCGCACCGCCTCCCGTGCAGGAGCCAGAGCTACACGGGACCTTGGCGACTGTTCCTCGCCGCCGTCGCCGCCGGCTCGACCCCGAGAGCCTCGAGCCGATTGTAGAGCGCGAATACACACTTTACGAGATAGTCGTTTGCGTTGCGCTCTGGGTAGCTGTCCTCTTGTCTGCACACGCTATCATCAGATCTCAACGTCCCCAACTTCATAAAACTTCACTTGAGGAGCTATGATATACAATTCGAAGCCTTAGCGACCGCCTTTACAACCCCGACAACGTATCTACCCCCGACGTCGGCAGCCTGGGCTCCAGTCTGGATGGCCCGACATTGGATTACCTGTGCGGCAAGATTCACTCTTGAACAAACGCATGGCCAGTGACCACTTGAACTGACACGTTTTCGCGACAGAATTTGGGGTGTTATGTGGCCATACAACGTATGGGACTTGACCAAGGGGGGCCTAATCAACGCTGCCCGGAATCGAGCATCTTCTAGTGAAGAATTCTCTGGGGATTGTAATAATGATCCAAAATATGCTATTGTGGAATACACTGTGGTGGATGCGTAATGATGCCGGCACCCATACATCTATCTACCTGACAGTTACAATCATCCAGTCCACTTGCTCTGTCACTCTCTGGGCCTTGTTGTCAAATCATCACATGATCCAATCCTGACCTCGGGAGAGGAGTCGCCTCCGGGGCAGTGTTTTTCTCACCGACAGTGTCCTCCTTAGGGGCTGAGTCCACCGATTTCCAATCGTATCTTATTATCACATGACAAAGAACTACGTTCATGAACGATTGATCAACGCCCCTAGCTTTTTCCTTGGCCACGATGCCAAAGTCAGGGCAGCTGATTCCTTTCTAGCCGAAAAGCACCAAAGTTGTGATGAGGTAGTTTTCAGAGGCGGCAGAGTACAGTTACTACTTTTTAAGCGGGGTGTCCAACTTCTGGACCAGCCTAAGTGACGATTTATTTTATTTTTGAGCTCTTTCGACCGGAAGGGCGGAGCCAAACCCAAATACCCCAAAAGGCAACAAAAAGCAGAACCTCCGTGATGTACGCTAAGTCTTGTACGAGGACTAAATGTGACCAGGCTAGCAACTACCTGAAGAGTACACACTTTCGTATTATATTCTCCTTGATACGACCTACCATGGACCATCTCAAGAGTCAACAGTGCGAACCTGGCATCGTTGAAGCCAAACTTTCTCCTCGAGTCTGAAGCCCCGTCTCTAGAATCATAGCCGAGAGACACCGAGGTCATGGCCAAGTTCTCTCCACACGAATCTGCCAGAGTGGCTAGAAGAGGTTCGCGCCTCTTCGAGAGGCTGGGTCTCACTAGTAGGAACTCCAACCAAAAGGCTCAAGCTACATGATCAAACTACACACAAGGACCAGAGTGGCTAGTCAAGGCAGCGGGGTAGGATAGCCCTAGACGACTGGTAGGTAAGTATGCAGCAGTATTCCATACCAAGAAAGGGACGGCTGCTCCGAGTGGGTTTCCTCCTTCGGCGATGCCCGTCTGGTGGTGGTTGCCAGTGGCACCCCGTGTCCCAGGCATGCCGGCTCCGGCAGCACAAGCAGCGGCGTCCGCCATATTGGCTGAAGAATAATCTTTCAAGTAGGCAGCTCTTCCATGCTCTTCTTTGGCAATGTCGTACTTCAAATCTTGGCCACTGTGGAGTGCAAGCGAGTGGCATTGTGATGGTAAACATGATAGTCTCCAGCACTATGCGCTGTGAGTATCACGGGCATCAATTTCCATAATGGCATGTGTTCGGCTCTTCGTGGTGGACGCTGATGTCTCCCGGGCGATCATAGCCTCGGTGAGCGCGTTGACGCCTCTTTGGGAGGCCACGCTATCAAACCTTGTCGCCGGCAAGGCATTCTTTTGACAACAACCGCGCCGTGGTACACTAAACCTCGTAAACACCGACCGAAGTTGCTAATTCAAAGGTTCTTATTCCACTATCAAAGATCCCCGCGTCGCGAGATGCGAAGCTTGAGGCACATGCCATGCTTGCGGATAGTTAACGCCAGCTTGTCCAGTCTTGAAACTCTTCGCCAATTATGTCCACGCGCGTACGAGATCCTCCCAATAGCAGGCCTGGACATATATTGCTTTAAGCTTTGCAACTGGGACGGTCTTCACGAAGAGACCACAAGTTGCACTTGGCATTGATGAAGCATCACCGCCTAGCTTCGCTCGAAGAAGGCGTGGGTCCTGCTCCATCTAGGTGCGGACAGTCTGTAGCTGGTTTGTCACGATTTATTTTATTCTAAGCTCTTCGACCGGAAGGGAGGCGCCAAACCCAAATACTCGTCTGAGTCTAATGTCGACTCCAGACTAAGCAACCACGGGTAGTCCCCCCCAAACCTTTAGTCTGATTAGGTGGCCATCACACCCAGACGAGTATCCCAAAAGACAACAAAAAGCAGAGCCCCCGTGCTGTACGCTAAGTCTATCACGAGCGCCACGGGATTCGGATTTGTCTCCAGCCTCCCTTGAGGTTGCCGAGCTTTATGAATCTGCGAGGAATCAGCATATAAGACCCAGACACCCAGACACTCACACACTCACAGCCAAACTTCGACATCGCACCATCAACCATGCGCTTCACCGCTCTCGCAGTAGTCCTAGCTGCAGTGACCCCTTCGGTCGTGGGGAAATTGCATTGCAACGGGGGATGGAATGAAGTCCACTTCCCAGAGCAATCCAGACCGGATACATATGAGAAGAGGCACGAGCTGCACAAGGTCAGTGGCATCTCCATATGTCCATTTGAACCTAGCGAAGCATTTACTGACTTCGGACACTACAGTGCATCAACCGCCTAGGCAAGGGTGAGTACAATCGCCCTCCATAAGTCTCCTTCACATTTTCCAACTTCCAAGCCGTCTTGGATGCCCATTACAGAGTGCTTCTTCCATTTACGGTAAATACACCTGTCACTTGCTGACTGAGGGACCTAGGCTAGCCGGATGGGCTCGTCGAGTTAAATCTTTAAACTTAATTAAAAGATCGATTTTTAAAAGTCTTATTATAACCCTTTTATATAAAAAAATTCAGTTAATTTTTGTTATTATTGGGTATATTCTTATTTGATATAGCTTTGTTTATTTTACTTTTAATACT